TTACACTCCAACTACCCAGTTCGAGTTCCAACTCCCATGAATAAAACACCAAACAAGTCACCAGCAAAGAACACACCGACCAGGTCACCAACCTCGATCAAGACACCGACAAACTCAATGACTAAGAACACACCGACCAAGAATACACCGACCAAGAACACACCGAACTCGTTGATCAACAGCACACCATCATCGACAGAATCAACCAAACAGCGTTCTTCCAAGTCTCATTCTGGCATTCAAACTGACAAACCAATAATACCAACAACACCAGCAACACCAAMAACACCAACAACATCAWCAACAACAACAACAACTACACTTCAAACCCAAGCTCATGGATATCCAACCACACCAGCGTCTGGACATAAACGAAATAAAGGTACCTTTATCATTAGGATTCCATTCTTTAGATGTTGTCTCCTAACTTTATCCACACCCTGATCAGATCATTTAAAGAGCAACGGATCATCACCAGAAGATGCACGCGATAAATACAATGCATCTCTTTCAAAGGATGCAACCAAAAAGAGGTTCAAGAAGAGGCAACGCAAGACATTGACTTTGATCGAGGAAGGGTACTATCTTAAAGTTGGCAAAGACAGCGGCGAGTGCAAAGGATGTGGCCACATATACACTGGTGGCAGTACAGGCAATGGAACTAAACACCTTGCATCCAACTTAAAGTGCTGGAGCGCGAGGGAATGGAGATTCGCTGATCCAGRAAGACTTCTTCCCGAGGACAAGGCTGAATCAAAGATCACCGACCATCTCGTGAATAGACCTAAACTTCCATCATCACAAGACGTTAAGTAGGTATTCATACATTTCCAACAAACAAATAACATGAAATACTTACATTTAATTCAAATAGGAATGAGCTGGTAGGATTAGTCACATCCAGCAACAGTAGCTTTAGGCTGGTCGAGAATCCCAATCTCCAGAATTTGTTGAAGATGATCCAAACATCAGATCATACTAACGTAGTGATCAACGAGAAGTAAGTTCATTTATTATATTTACTATATGATAGAACAACTTTATTAACTTTTATTATTACAGGAATATCAAGTTAGCGATTTTATTACATCATTGGGTCCAAGGGGAGGTGGAACACAAAATTGATTGCTTGCGCTAACAATAACAACAACAAACAGAAGTGTTGTTCATCACAACAACCTGTGTGCAATCCTATCACTTCACCAAACACACATGATGTTGTTCTCTCACTAATGCTGGTGACGAGGCACATAATAATTACCCCATTTTTTCTCTCATTTTTCACAAGTGACACCTCACCAACTCTCACTCACAACAATAACCAACTCGCAAACTTCTTTGGCATAGGAAAACACACCAACTTCTCTTTTTGGTCTCAAGATTCTCTATCCATCCATTCTGCGCAATTTGGGATACTCTGACTCATTGACGCTCACTCACTCTTTCACTCGCTCATATTCAATTGTAACACATACATCATACACACAATATATTATTACATCAACATCAAACAGGCAGTATTATCAAAAAGTATTTAGTTGTGATTAAAAGAAAGAAAGAAAGGAAGTAAAGTAAAGAAGGAATGGATACTTCTTCATTCAATCAATATGATATCATTATGAATCAACAGAGCAACTATGATGATCCGTTGGTTCAATACTTTCTCAATGAGGACACTACTTCATCATCATCATCGTTGATGATGAACAACAGTAGCAACAGTATCATCAACAACAATAACTTTGACATTCATGGTTGTGGCAACATCAATGACACTACATCAATGTTTGTGTTGCAACAGGATCCAATTGCAGTGGCAACAACTACGACACATCACTCCTATCCCAGTTCACCATCTGTCGTGCCAAACTCATCGCCATACGATAGCAACTCTTCGTCGCTGTCCACACCAGAGCAACAGCAACAGCAGCAATGCTTCATCGTAGACACCTCCTCATTGAATGGACATCAACAGCAGTTGGAGCAACAGCAACAACATATGTTGTACAATGACTATTCATCAATGCAACCAATCTTTGATGGTCAACAACAACAAATGTAAGCATTACAATAATATAAGTATGCTACGTACACAAACTAACAATAACAACAGTGCCATGGCAGAGTTCCCTGTTGTAGAGTTTGATGCAATGACAAACAACAATGTTGACACTGGAATACACATTTCTGAGCCAACTGTTGACGCTGGTGAATATCAGATGTTCTCTTCATCGTCACCTGACCAATTGGACACTCAATCACCATTGTCATCCAATGAAGATTCGATTGAGAGCGAGGAGTCAAACACCTCACCAGCCCAATCATCGAATCAATCAAACAAGCAGAAGAAGAGAGGAACAGAGACACGTGTTCAGAATCGTATGTACAACATCATGGTTGATTGGTCATCATGTACAAGTTACTAACAACATACACCGCATTATTATTAGTTGTGCATCCATTGACAAGAGAAGAGTTGTTAAAACTTTCTGGCAAGGAGCCAGTCAAGATCACTGAGCAAGACTCTGCTGTGTTGGCTGACGAACGTTCGTTCAAGAAGCAGCGTCGTCTGGTCAAGAACCGTGAGAGTGCACAGTTGTCGAGAATGAGAAAGAAGATATTCATTGAGGACTTGGAGAAGAAGATCAGTGATCTGACCTCTGAGAACAAGTCATTGCGAGATGAGGTGCTCTACCTCCAGGGCATCCTGAAGCAGGTGTCCAAGAACCACCCAGAGGTCTCGCGTCAGATCCAGCACCACGAGTCGATGCGCACCAAGAATGCCAAGGCGGCCGGTGTCTGCCTGCTGATCATGATCTTCTCGATTGGCATCTTCCTCAACCCACAACAGGCAACTCAATCACAGCAGTTGCAACCATTCACCAATTCCTTGATCAACACCAGAAGAGTTATTTCCAACGTAGAGAACAACAACATAGCCTTGCCAGAGATCACATCACCAGAGTATATACAGTCGTCCGATGTCATGGATGGCCTGACAGCAGCAGCAGCAGCGACAGCATCTTCCTCCTCCATGTCCTCTTCATCACTCAAGACACCAAAGAGAGCTTTGGAGCCTGCACCTTCGACGCCGACACAACAAGAGAAGAAGCGCATTAGAATCATTCCAACGAGTGAAGATGATGCCAGCACTACCGACCATTTGACTTCAGTGGGACGCATCGAGTCACCACGTCCAACAAGAGTGAACAGAGAGGATTCGTCCTCGCCTGCCACTCCCAACATTGTGGGCGACGGAGATTTCAACATTGTTCCCTCGAGCAGATACCAGGACGGTCCAGTGCACTCGAGCTACATTATCTGCAGTGACCAGCCGAGAATGGTCTCCAACAACTTGAACCAGACCACACAGTCCCTTCTCAACTCCAACCCAGCCACGCCATTGACCATTGGCCTTTTGATTCCAAGTGACACACTCGGCATTAATGTTACCAATGGTAACCTGCCACAGGAGCGTGCCATCTTGGAGATCAGCTGCCAAGTGAACAACATTCGCATCTGGAATCCACTGTCCATTCAAGATCATCTTCAGAGTCCCTTGATGACCCAGAGGTCCTACGATTCAAATACCGATCTTGTCATCCACTCACCATAAGTTCAACAACTATTATAACACCATCAATCAATCAACCAACCTTTTAAACTTTGCCAGCCTAAATAAATGTAAATTATTATTATTAACATCTGACTTGGAATTTTCCAGCTTTGGTGATGCATCGTACACCTTTGTAGGGTTTGTACTTCTCGCTACATGACAGTGAGTTGACTCCGATGCCTGAGATGGCATACATGACTATCTTGAATTGTACCATAATTGATGGATTGGACTCGGGAATAGGTTGTCCAGGTGTAAGATTTACATTGCCAGTGAGCATTGGTGTCTTGTCCTTTGGTATCTTGCCAATGTCCCACTTGACCGTCTTGGTAGAGTCCTCCACAATGTGTGAACCAACATTGGCAGTCAGATTGATCGCAGACACTGATTTGGGGAATGGTATATTTACAAACACAGACTCGATACTCTTGTCCGAGCCCACCTTCTGACCAACCATCACATTCACTCTTGCTCCACCATTACTATAACTTATCTGTGGCTTGACATATATTGGCATTTGAGTTATACCTTTGATTCTGTTTGATTGTTTGATTGTTTAGTATGAGTTGATGTCATGCCAATGTGTTTGTTCAATCACAGCACATACCTGTAGGACATCAATTTGAAGTTGCCATCTGGAGGGACGAAGCTCAACACTCTATCATTCTCCCACTTGGAGTGTCTGACACATGGATGGAAACTGACATCGTCCAATATTCTCGGATTGTTGAATGTGAGTGTCAAGTCTGGCATACCAGTCAATCTAGAGTTTGCCATGATCTCTCCATTGATCTCACATGTTACAACCATTCCATTACTTGATGATTGAATGTTCCAAGTCAAGAATGTATTAGTATACATTCATTGAATGAGTATCCATCGTCCAGTTCCAACATACCTATCAACAATACAATCAATCTCCTCGACGATATCAAAGAATATTTCATCTCTTGTATACTTGATACCTGTCTTTCTCCATGTAATGGCACCCAATGATCCACCTAGGTCATGATGAGTAAGTAATCAGGGCGTGACCAGTTAGTTTGTTTGTACAAGAGTGAATGAATGAGTGAACTGAACATACTTGGCAAGATATCAGTGACAGCAGATGATCCAGTGACACCATGTATAATGTTGCTTACTACGTTCGGAGGCTTGATTAGTTCGAGAAGGAAGTTGGGTTCAGTGGTGAAGGGGAATCCATTGTCGGCCATCTCATCGAGCAATTGATAGACATGTACAAAGTTGTCTCTGATGACAGTCTCGTTGATGGTCTTGCCAAAGTAGTCGACAAAGATATCATAGATCCTCTGCATAAAGTCAATGACCAATAGGGGTGGACTCTCATCATGCATCGCTGCCAACAAGTATATAGAGGGACGATGTATATTGACCAGATAGTACTTTGGAGTGACTATAACAGGTAACACCTGTGCAGTACTATTACCTGGTGAATTCAACTCTGTCTCCAACTTCTGATCCCAAAAGTAATCGCATACTGATCTACTTATAACTCCTCTCCAGTGTTTCTCAATGATAATGTCACTGTACATCAATGAATGAGTTAGTGTGAGCATGAATGAATGAAGATCAAGATATACTAACCCTGTCTCGGACAATATGAATAAGCTACTAATCATTGATTATTCAAAGTATGTATTATTATTATTATTATTATTATCTGTGTTTGTTAATGTTGTTGGTGACTGACTTGAGTGACCTTGCTGAACTTGTTGTGTGTCAGGTGATAAACTTTGGCACAAACAACAACAAACATCATTTCATTCAATTTCAAACAAATAATAACAGACACAGATATATATATTAGTTAAATGAAATACTTGGACTCAACGAACCTGATAGGTCTTAGTACCTATCTTGATAGATTGGACTGCGGAGATAGTATATTGAATGGTATTCTGGAGAGTTACAGTTGCAAGTTTGCAGGCTCCGATAAGAAGTTGTATAAATCATTGGACAAGGAGTTGGAGACACAGTATAGTTCAAGTCTGGACGCACATCATGGTAGTACCAGTGGCAGTAGCGTCAGCAGCAGTACACAGCATCATCTCAGCAACCATTTATTACAATCTGCATCATTCAGCGAGTCGAATGTCAACGGCGGTCTATCTATCAGTCCTTTTGGTCCGCTGACATCGAGCGCTGGCAGAAAGACAATGATCTACCTCATCTCGACGTTGAACGCCTGCTTCGTCGACTATGACTTCTCCAACACACGACCGGAGCAGTTTCGCAAAGAGAGCAATCTCTCTATGGTCATGAACAGCATCAATACCACGCTGCAGAGTATCATGCCCACCTTTAAGAATGAGTTACAGGAACGATTATGGAGTTCAATCGACAATGAGATTGCCTTGACAAAGACAGATATCTACTCTTTCATTCCAGAGTCACCGGATCCTTTCACAGAGGCAGGTGTAATGTAAGTTGTTGTTGTAGTGGAGGACATTGTTTGGCATACCTCACCATACAGTTATTAAGCCAACAACTTCCTCTTCCTCTTCCACCTCTTCTTAATTATGGGTAAATGCAGTTGGAGCTTCAATTACTTCTTCTACAATCGAACAATGAAGAGAATCATATTCTTTAGTTGTAGGCTGTTAAAGTAAGTATCATGGACTTTGGAATAATTATCAAATACAATGATATCCTAATACAACCAACCAAACAAAACGCAGCAAAGCATTGGAGATGTCAAACAATAGGGAGAGAATGACGATGAGTGCCAGTGATGATGAGGATGATGTGTAAGTGTTGTAGAGAAAGAAGAGGAAATGATATCGGAGAGAGATAGATGTCATATCTTTGACACATTTGACTGACACTCCATTTCCAACAGATTGGACTATGATAACGATGATTATAGCAATGCGGTAGTGGATGACATGGAATTGAACTGAGATTCCTCTGGACGAATAATTATCTTGTCACTCAATTCCATTGTATGTAGTGTAATTGCCAAGAAGATCAAATGTATTTAAATGTATTTATATCTGCCTTTATATATATGAATGGGAACAACCCATCATTCATTCATTGTCGAACACCAACCAATTATCATTTCATGAACATAAAGACATTGTGCGATTGATTGAATGAACAACAACAACTAGATTGACATCAAATATAGATTGGTGGACATCACACCAACACACACCCAACCCTCCAAACACCGCATACCGATGTTGTTGTCCCATCTTATTGCCAATTTTGGTGCAGTAAGCACTACCCTCTGTTAGGATTGGGGTTGTGAATCTGGACTGGTCTGTCGTTTGTCCAGGACACACCCTCTCCAAGGGGGTATTGGTGGTAGTGGTATGCTTGAGGGGTGTTCAACAGATACACACACACAAACACAAATAAACCAGACAGAGATACATGTTTGTAATTCAGGACGGACAACAACAACAACAATAACAACAACAACATCTATCGTATCGTTTTCCAAATTAATGTGTGTACACTGACATGCACTATTGTTTATATTGCTGCTTCATACATGTGAATTCAAATGAATGTACAAGGATTCGTTTCGTCTATCTATCTCTTGTTATTGTAATTGATATTCTTATTACAGAGTTATACATTGTTGTCAACAAAGACAATAGAGTCTAGTACTCATTCATTCAATCTTCCACATATTACAAAATGAATAATTTAGAACTGGAGAGATTGGGAGGTGGAGGTGGAAGTGGTCGAGGCATTGGATGTGCTCGTGCAATTCATTCTGTTGATGATTTGACAAAGGAATTGATGGATGATGCCACCATCCAAGAGAAGGAAGCTGCAAAGTTACAACAATATAAACAATCAAACAATGGAAAGAGACAACTCTCATTGGAATTCCCACCTGGTCATGGGAACAACGAAGACTTCAACTTCAGGTATCACGAGATACTCAACTTCCTACCAGTGGAGATATTGTTCTGTATATGCAAGTTCCTCAATTTGGAATCAGTACTAAGACTGTCACAAGTGAACAGGTTCTTTAAAGTCATGTGTAATGAAGAGGAGATATGGAAGGTATGTAGTTGTTGTAAACATTACTAGGACTGAAATCATTATTAATAGTTCATTATTATTAGCATATGTGTAACCAAAGATATGGATTTTATAAAGGACAATCGCCAGTACTATGGAAACAGTTCTTCTTCACTCACACATTATATCCAGGTCACTGGGATCCAAAGTTTAAAGGAAAGATGACACTATCTGACGACAATACTAGAGTTGCCCACGGTGGGGACTTTCTTGGAAGTTACCAATCTGCCAGAGGTTCGAAACTGATTGAATCAGGATGTACTTATTGGGAGGTGTTTATTGATGGTCTAAAGTATGTCTCAATCTCAACCATCTACTTAAACTCATACTAACGACTCCATCAGTTCAAATCAGACAGGTTTCCATTTGGTAGTTGGAGTGATTCCTGCATCATTCCAAGTTTGGCATTCATATCTTACAAGCAGTGGAGGATGGGGTTACTTGGCAGATGGAAGAAAGGCCAACAACAGTGGCAATGGACTGCCCTTTGCAAAGGGATTCGTACAGGGAGATAGAGTAGGTGTACTTGTCAATATGCCAGAGAGGACACTATCATTCTATGTGAATGGAGTATGTCAGGGTGTAGCATTCAGGAATATTGATCAACCAGTGTATCCTGGTGTCAGTCTTTTGACTGGGGGACAAAGTGTGTCATTCGTTTCCAATCCGAGGTTCCCTGTGATCTATGAATAAATGATCATCTTCACCAGGTATTGTAATACCTAAATTTGTAAATAATATGGACCTGAGATTGTATACTTTGGAGATTCTACATTTATTTAACTTTATTTTATATTTTGATGATTCTTTCTCAGTTGATTGAAGTTGTCCACCAAGTAATTGTTACATCTCTCGGACTCCAACAGCTTCTCTTTCAGTACCTCGTTCTCCTTTAAAAGTTGTTGACCTTTGAGTGTCGCCTCTCTGTTTTGTTCAACTAGACTGGACTCCCTCTCTGAGAGCAGTTGTAGTCGACGCACCAACTCCAACTTCTCCTCTTCATTCTTCCTGGTGATATGGTAGAACTCCAACTTCTTGTTGGCCAACTCCTGCTCCAGGTGGTGTACCTTTTCCAGTAGCTTGTACTTCTTGACAACCCAATTTGGATCCTTGGCCTTCTGCTTTGGTTGCTTGTTGGGGTCGAATGTGGTGGGAATATGAGGAGTGCCGCTGTTGTCCATCTCAAATTGCTGAGCAAACGCATCAAGTTGATTGGAACTGACATGAATGCGACTGGCAATGTCCATAAGTGTGCCAACGTCTATCTTCTCTTTGGCATGTGATCGGAAGTAGTCCATAACCTGTGCACTGTCTGTGCAATTAATTACATCACTCTCAATCATTTGGAAGATTGCAAGGCCAACAGAGAAGTAGGCCTCAATACCTTGAAGCAGTATGACGTCCAATATTCGCACAACACACTCCTCTGATAGATGATAAGAGAATGCAGTCATGAACCATGGTGATGCAAAGATTGTAAAGTCCAAGTCAATCTTCTCCAAATGACTGTGCAGCTTTGGGAACAAGTCCCTCACCAATCTACTCAATTGGAACAATCGAAGTTTCAAACCTCTCATTCCTAAAGGTGTGGAGGATGATTAGTCAAGGTGTTCGTTGATAATGACTCGATCAATAAGCTGAGTTAACATACCAATTGTATAAAAGTCACGCATGACACCTTCTAGAAGCCTGACGAGAATGTGGAATGTCTCCTCCTCTGGTACCTTGGTAATGATGATGCTTCCAACAAATGAGATGCCTTGACAGTAGCCCATCTCCTTGTCATAGAGTGAGACAGCCTTTAGAACACGACATAGGGAACTGGAGTAGTGATCACGAAGTGCCTCTGGCATATCTGGGAATGTCCGTTGGACATCGACCTTGATCTGCTCCTCATACTCGGATGTATGTTTGAGTATGTCGGAGTAGAAGCATTTGTGTATCTTGGTGGGGAGCGGCTCAAGGTTGGTGAGAATGGGTGGAGAGTTGGTGAATGGTGATGCTGGTAGTCTGTTGGTATTATACAATGTTGGAGGAGAGATGGCCAAAGAAGAGGAACGCGCTCGTGTGAAGGACTGGCCAGCGGTGGGGACAGAGGTGGAGGTGGTCGATAGTGCATGTATGTTCAATGGTCTGTTGCTGTCCATCTTGTATTTGAGTGTGAGTTCTGTACATGTAGGTATGATGGCCTTTGGTTTGATCATGTTTGATAGCTGTATCCAAATGGCAGGTCTGAAGTGATCGGGTATGCCCTGATAGACATACTTGGTGAACATTGGACGAAAGTGGCGTCCAGACCATTCCTCCCAGTTAGAAACTATCATCATCCATGTCGCATCATTGGCAATAGAAAGCTTGCTAAGGTTGGTGCTCGAACTGGAGGAGCTTATTGTTCCTCGTGTCATTGTCTCTGGAGAGTTGACCAACTCTGTGCTCTGTTGTCGCTGGAGTGGTGGTTTATACTGTGGATGTTGGGTCGGTGGTGGAGTATCCGATGTCTTGCGATTGGATAATGTCATTGGAGGTGGAGGCGATGGATGACCAACTGACATAGAGAATGAACGGGACTTATTTACAATTGAGTGTGATGATGATAAAGGTGATGACGATGATGATGATGTAGATGATATGTATAGAGGGGACCCAATGGGCTTGGGGAATGAGTCCATACTGGATGTGATTGGTTGTTGAAGACCAGGCTTCTTCTCCATTAGGTTTGATGTTGATCGTGTGATGTTTGGTGCAGCGGTTGCTGGAGGTGAACTCTCCACCGATCTTGACTTTCTCCAGAAGGATGAAAAGAAATTGCTCTTCTTTGTGCCTGGTGACGGTATCACTGGTGACGATGACTGTGACGACGGTGGAGATGACATCATTGGCGGAGTGGATGACGCATCTGGTTGTATACCCAACTGGGCAGCAGCATGTGTTGTTGATGTTGTTGATACAGCGCTTGATGAATCTGTGGAAGATGCGATTGGAGGTGATGACGATGATGATGATGTCATCCTATAGTTGTCACTACCAAAGTCCTGACTTGATGTCTTTGTGTGCAGATGTGCATGTGTTGCCTGTTGTTCGTCAATCTTGTATAGACCAGCTCTGTTTCCTATCCTCAGTGGTGCGGAAGCATTGACAGGGGGATGTGGAGACTCTGACTCCATTGTTGTTTTAGTTGATCCAAAACACCAGTATTATTGTTTGAATAGTGCTACTACTGTTATGATTGAAGCTGTTGCCTAATTCTTATTATTCTTTGATTAGTAACCTTTGTTGATAATAACAACATGAGCGACAGACAGACAGTCACATTGTCTACATGAAGAGAGAGAGACGTCTGCTTATTGTTTATGTGTCGTGCGTCTCTCTGTCTTTAAACACACAAGTAGACTCTATCTTTGATGCTGGAGATGATGTAACAGATAGTATCTGAGTCGATCGAAGTGTGGTGTGTTGTGTGTGTGGTGTGTGTGTGTGTGTGAATGCATTCGAGTTCAAACAGTGTGGTGGAATTTATCTATCTCTCTATCTCACATACCCTGGTAAACAATTCTGATGACAAAGTGTAAAAGAGTCCTGGTCAGTCAGTGGCAATCAAATGACTTTATCTATTATCTCTATCTATTAGTAAAATATTTTTGATTTAATAAGATAGATAGGTCAATCCACCATAGATAACTTGATGAAGGCAACTTTAATTAAGCACCCCAATGGTGGGTTTCGTTTGGGAGTCAGCCCTTTATCATAATTGCATCCAAAACAAACAAACACACACACTCTGAAACACAGATGATCGGTCAGACGACTCAAACGACAAGTATCTAAACACTTTAAACTCAATGTCTGTATGTATGTCTTTTGGTCAACATTAAGTTATGTGTTTATTGATTGATTGGTAATCATAGAGTCAGAAGAAGGGTTATCCTCCTATGTGTATCAGGCTGTGTCCTATCTTAAGTTTCAAATGACTGCGATTACAATCATGAACTATAGTTACCTCGGAAGAGGAGAATCCTCTGGGTGGTCTATGATATCCAATGAGAGACTTCATTGATCCCAAGAAGTTAAAGAACTCTTAGAGAGAGGTGAGATCCATATCGGGGCTCCTCTTACGTCCAGTCACTTGATCAACGATTCCTTGGCCTTGTGATTGTATCGGAAAATGAAGTCTGATACATACCTTGCAGTCGATCCTGTGCACAGGAGACCTGGCCGATATGTACTCAACGCTGTGCGACTTTTCATTGCTCTGCCGTCTCAACGGTGTGTCAGATAGCCTCCCTCGCTACTGTCTACTCTGCAGACATCGCTGAAGTGTTAACATACAAATGTCGCCACAAAGAGAGGGAGAAGAATTCGTTCGAGGTGAGAGATTGCTGTGATCCAATACCTTTGGAAGACAACCAAACAGACAAGACCGTCACTGATCTTTCGGAAGCTGAAGTTGATGCGTCCAGCATACGATATAGTTGGTGCAATGTCCAACATGGAGAGTGTGAATCCCTCGCCGTCAACAACATTGACCAATAGTTCTTTGGACAGGGGACGTTTCAAAGGAGCTTTGCCCAGCTCCTTTCCAAGCCTGATCAGGGTGCCCTGGGACATCTCCAATCTGTCAAGCAATTGGAGGTCACTCAAATCCGACAGACGATCGAAGCACACTGAGAGAGAAGTGACCGATGTTGGGATAAGTTCACCGTTCAGCTGTTGGCGAAAGTGTGGCCCAAAGGAGAGTGCCGTCACTGATGGCGGAATGAAGCCCGGAACCAATGGCCCTCTGAAGTGCTGGCCAAATGACAACTCTGTGACGGACGATGTTATGCATCCAGAATGCAATTTAGATGGCGAGACAAAATGTACACCAATCAGCCTTGTCACTGATGGAGGGAGTGCTGGCATTGACTGCGAGTCCATCTCGTCACAGTATCTAATCTTCACTGATGTGAGTGAATCTGGCAAAGACATGCCTCTGCCCCTTGCTGAATTGAAACTGCCAATCTCCAAGGTGGCCACTCGTTGTGAGTGGACAGGTAGCCACTTGCCTCGAAGGATAAGATGGGTGACTGAGTTTGGAATGGTGCCAATGGGCAACGGATGCTCATAGCGTTCTCCAAACTGAACCAACACTGTTGACTGAGGAATCGATCCAATCTCCAACGATTGATTGAACTCATCGCCAAGGTAGAGTTCTGTGATGGACCGAGGCAGTGAGCCGCTCGGCAGACGTTGGTTGAAACCGTGGCCAAGCACCAATGTTGAGACGTCAGTGAGCATGCCGATCTCTGTGAGCAGGAACTGTTCACCTGCAGTCAATGAGGTGAGTGAGCATGCCATTATCTTGGAAAATATGTGGTTGAACCTGTCGCCAACAGTCAGTGAGGTCAATGCGTTTGTGAGGATACCGTCTGTATCAAGTGGCTGGTTGAACTCCCGTCCAAAGGAGAGCGTTGTGATAGAGGCTGGGAGCGAGCCAACTCGCAATTCTTGATTGAATGCATTGCCGAATGTGAGCGAGGTCAGCTTGGTTGGCAGGCCTTTGACGAGCATCACCTGATTGAAATCATCTCCCAAAGACAGTGATGTGACGTTTGGTGGGATGGAGAAGCGCGGCAATGGCTGGTTGAAGCCTTTGTCAAAGGTAATTGAGGTCAGTGACGAGGGCAGCACGTTTGGCCAAGAGGCCAATTGAAATGCACCAGCGTCATCGTCGTGATGTTGCTCGGAACACCGTAGAGCCAGTTGGCCGGCTTGCGATTGGCATTGAACTCACTGCTTAGCACCCATGACGATATCAACTGCGCTGATGACGTCTTTATTTGTGATGCCACTGTGATGGTAGCATGGTGCACCTCAGCTGAGGATGTACTATGTTCGTACCTCAGTAATCTGCTCTGATTGTTGTGTACATACTTGTTGGTCATCCCAAAGCATATTTGATCAATGACAGACAAGCTCTTGAACACAAGCTGCAGAATATATAATGGGAGCATTGTAGTTGTAGTATCTGTAGTTAATATTGAAAGTGGTCTTGTTTCTGACTGCCTGATTGACAAATCATGGACCTGAATACATGGACGGTTGATTTCCTTTCATTAATCATGTATTATCAATCAGTGATCAACTTTAACTCAAACCAATGGTGATTGAAAGAAAAGAAACTGGTTTGCCTACATGATCATATATTGTTTATGGAAGTTATGTTTTTTTTTTGAAGGAGGTACGGACAATCAGAGGTAGGTACCTCTATGCACCAACCTCTAATCCAGCATTATTAGTTCAATAGTTTCAATAGTTGACCTCTAAACATATCGATGGTTAACTCCTCGTTGGGTCTGGTCGATACTATCTTGGTGTGATGCTGATGATTGATCGTAGGTGTACTTGACCTACTTCCACTATTGCCACTGCCACCCAATATACTGCCAAGTGATGATGATAGCTCATGTTGATGTTGTTGTTGTTGCTGCTGCTGTTGTTGTTGCTGTTGGTGAGACTTGAGTATTGAGAACAGATTAAATACAGAGTAATTCTTTGGAATCACGTGCCAACATTGTTTAAGCTTTGCACTGTCCTTCTTCTCGATGCAATGTGTGATCAGAATCTATAATGTCATGTTGTTGATACAACGATGTTAGTAAACGCAATCAAGCCTAGCATTGTCGTTTTTGCCACCATACCTCAAACAATACAAAGTGTTCACGATCACTGTATGAAGCTTGTCTGACAATCTGAATGGCTCGGTCCCATTGGTTTGTGTCAAGTAGGAATCGCAATGCATTGGGCTTGTGACCAACGGCACAGAGCAGCTTGAACTTGGCCTCGATGCGTGGCTCGTCAGAGGGCAAACCAGTGGGCAGCGCCAGGAGAGCGCGTGTGAAGTGATCATTCTGTGGAATGAACTTGTTGACCTCAGTGGCTGGCACAGAGGCCGAGGCTGTGAAGCTGGCCTTGGACTGGACATCCAACGTCTTGAGCGTGGCAGCATTGAATATTATTCGAACAAATGGTACCAATCTCTGAGGTTTGACACTATAGTACAGTTGGCACAACGTTTCAAACAATGGATACACTGGATAGAGGACGTTGCCACCTGTGCCTGCATTGTTGTTGGACGTCGATGGTTGGTCCTCGACGGCACCAGCCATCAGGGGTGATGTGAGGGCATTGCGATCGAATGCAGCTCCAGTTACACTCTTCATGTTGGTCTTGCGCTTGAGTATATCCTCCTGTTGAAGAAGAACATCGCTGATTGGAGGGAATGGTACCATCTCACCATAGATGTCAGTGTACTTGTCAAAGTCAATGGCGTTGAGATTGAGCAATTGTTCGAATCGCTCCAAGAGTAGTGGTGCATTCTTGCGCTTGAAGTACTCGATGGTCTCATTGCCCAGCTCTAGCAGTCGGTCCTTGTTGATGTCGACCAGTGATGCAATGTCATCGCCAACCAGTGCTGGCACGTGATGTTGAGGCGTCTCCTTGATTGATCGCTGTAGGTCGTGATACTCGTTCAGCAGTGGCACCATAATCTGATTGAGTGGTGTATGATAATGGAAGCAGCCACGTGCTTTTGCCTGCTCCGCATCGTCGTCTTCAAGGGCACCGGGTGTCGGGTGGTAGTTGTACAACTCGAGGAACTTGTTGAGTTCATCGAAAAGGAATTTGGAGCTGCTCTCTGACTGCATCGAGGAGAGCAACGCGATTACAAGAGAAGGGTTCTCAAGCTTGGGCAGAAGGGCACGACATATCTGGATCTTGGCGTCTTCATCCTGCTCGTTGAGTGCCATCTCTAGTAGGTACTTGGCCTCCAATCTCTTCATGTCCCACTGACGACATGCAGCAGGTGCACAGCCAATTGTTTGATTCTTTGCCTGGACCGTGTTGCCTACAAAGCTATTGGTGTTGTTCACACCGGCATTGTGATTGACAAGTTGGCTCTCGATGAGATGTGTTGGTGCGCCCACGGCTCTGATCTCCCAGAGTCCCTCGCCACGTGCCCAGAGACCTGATCCCCAGACAATTCCTATGGGACTCTGCTCCCATACTCCACCAACGGTGATGTTGGACGTGTTGATGGGTGTGGAAAGAGTGGACAGAAGTTGACCACACTTGAGGTCAAAGAAGTAGGCCTTTGATCGATTGAGTATGACCAGTGCACTTTGATGCATTACGATGCGTACATTGTGCTCTGAATCGTACTCCCATGGATGAAGCACTGCCACCAAGTTCAACTTGAGCGTCTCGCGCTCGCCCAAGTCACAAGAGTAAACACGTCCATTTGAATCTAGAACCATGAGCTCTTGACTTATTGGATGGGAGCAGACGTCCAACACTTCAACGATGCAATTCTTTGAGTCGACAAGACTCTCGTCCTCTGTCGATGATGATGATTCTGTCTGATTCGATGTTGTAGTGTCGTCCAATGGCGCATGTATATCACATTGTTGTTGCTGTTGTTGTTGTTGTTGCTGTGACCTCCTTGTAGGTTGACCGGTTGTCGTCTGTGGCTCCTTGCCCTTATAATAGGTGACGAACCATACTTTACTCCTACTGGAGAACAAGAGTATGAATGATTTGGTGACGAACCATGTGCCCATCTTTGTCGATATGATGCGTGTGGATGGATGATTGATAAAGTCCAGCCACTCTCTACGGATGTCAAAGGTCTCGGTTCGAGAGATCGTCAGATTGCCAGGAAGCACCTCCTCACAGCCACGAGGCTGACTGGGGAACTGCTTGAGAACTGGGTCACGTGAGGGTGCATTGGTGTCAAATGTAAAGGTACGCATGTGGAGCGCATTGTTGGACATCCACACTATCTGCTGGCCATACACTGCACCATGAATCAATGTCGTAGGCACCATATGTGGCATTGCGCTTGGCTCGCTAGTTGATATCGATGGAAGGAACACCTTGAGATTGTATGCCCATCGGTACTCGGAATCTATCCACTCCCATGCGTGTAGTAGTCCATCGGCTTCGAACGCGTACAGTCTGAGCGGGTTGCTGTTTGCTGGCTTCTTGCCCGATGCAGGGACCTGTCGAGGGGCCACCTTGTTGGCAATGGAGCTCGGTGTCGATCTGTCGAAGTAGAATCGAACGATTGGTGAGGAGAACGAGCAGGCCAGCAGGGGCAGGGTGGCCGAATGCTGGTTGACAGAGGGTGGTGGCAGCAGTGCCTTTGCAAGCATCTTTTGCTCAGTGCTCTGTGACTGTGTCTCTTTGATCTGATGAGAGGCCACAGTGGCATCAAACACGGCCAATGTACGAGACTGTTGATAACGTATGGCTATATGTCCACTCACTACCTGAACGGCATCGATGCCATAGTCGCCCAGCTCTCTCGTCTGTACAATAGAGTGTAGTATTGATCGACCTCTTATATAGGCCCATCGTCTAGAGTCGAACGATGAGAATTGGAAGTCCATCTGACGTATATATAAATGATATCTCTTGTTGATGTTACTTGTATGAATCAAGATGATAATGATAGTGAGGGTATCACAGGAGGACTGAAGAATCAAATATCCACTTTTTGAAAAGTTGTTGTCAGTCTCCATAGCACGATCTTTTCATAAAGTGTTATTATTGTTTATTGGCAATGATCATGATGTTGACAATGATGATGACGTAGTTGTAACTAACTGAATAGACTTTGGTTGTTATCCATTCATTCGCACTGACATCACATCACATCATAGACACATACACACACACACACACACATCATCATCAACTTGGGTTGAATATACGCTGTTGCTGCTGCTGATGCTTTATACCAACTTCTTTGCTCTAAAGAATGACTTGAGATGTCTCATCTGCCACAAACCGGTCAGGACGAGGACGACCAGCTGGAGGACAGCCCACCAAGTCACACGGTTGTTGGTACTCTCACTTGTGTTACGGAAGGTCATCTCACGAGCCTTCTGATAGCTCTGCTCCTTTCTGATCTGTGTAACTCTGTCGTTCAGTCTCTTGAGGGCAATCTCCAATTCTATATATCATTATATTTTATCATTAGTATATCTGTATGTATGAATGGTGCCATTGATTGATTGAGTATACATACGGTTAAGGTGATCAGCCTTGGCAATCTCCTCATAATCATTGGCATTGGCTCCAACCAGAATATCAAAGTGAAGTCTCTGTGAGTAGGTAAGTAGATAGGTAGGTAGTGTCAGTGATATGATTAAGATGATGATGAATGTTCAATTAATAAACTACATACAGTCTTGATGGATGGACCGAACCACTTTGAGCTGTTGGTGGAGACGCAAACCTTGTACTCACCACCCATAAGAGTTTGGAAGGCGAATCTACCAGATGCTCCCATATGCTTGTTCATGACCTCATGGTTCTCTGGATCAGTGATCTTGATTGTGAGTGCTGTTCAATGAAGTGTAAGTTTGTTTGTTAACTAACTATATGATTGAATGATTGATTGATTGATTGATTGAGGAGTGCTTACCCAATTGTGAATTGGGCATTCCATTCTGTGGGTTCAAGTCCTCAAGGACGTAGTTGCCAACCAATAGAGTGTCCTTTGGGTTCTCCTCTAGGAAACACTTTGTCTGACCACCGTTCAATTCAAAGTACAATGCATTGGATGACAATACAAACAATGCAATGACCATCAAGCTGTATTTGATCGCCATCATCATTTCTTTAACTATAACTAAATATATATATAAACCTCTTTGTTCTAAACTATACTAATATAACTAACTATCTTGTGATGTGATGTTGATAAGTATTGGTTGTTGTTTGTTCACCTTGTGTGTTTTTTTGTGGATGTCAGAGCTAAGTGGATGACTCATCCGCAGTTCCATTCAAAAACAAAAAAAAACATTACAAAGAGAGTGTTTGCAAAAATTGACAATTATGTGTGTTGTCGATTAACGAACGATTGTTTTAATCAAACATTGATTGAATAGAGTGCTCCTCAATAATTATTACTATTATAAAATACAACAAATATATATAACTACAAAGATGAAGGAGGTACATGTAGCAGATAAATCAACATCAGGCTTCGCAATGAAGATGATGATGAAGATGGGATGGAGCAAGGAGAAGGGTCTAGGTGCTAAAGAGGATGGAGAGGTACAGTTCGTCACGACAAAGAAGAAGGTGGACAATAGAGGCATTGGTAGAGAGACTGGTGTATCATACTCTAGGAACTGGGAGAGAACAAACGAGGACTTTGACAATATATTGGCTAAACTAAATCAAGGAAGAGAGGATGGCAACAAGGACGACGACGATAAGAAGAAGAAGAAGAGAAAGAAGGAAAAGAAGGATGACTCTGCTGTTGACTCAGAGGATGAAGAGATGAACCAAATCACAAAGAAGAAGAGGCTATCATTGTTTGTAAAGGCAAAGTCTGCTGATGAGAAAGAGAGTAGCAGTGACAGTAGCAGCAGTGAGAGCGAGAGTGATAAAGAGAGTGCCAGTAGCAGCAGCAGCAGTGAGAGTGAGAGTGAACAAAAGACAAAGTCAAAGAAGAAGAAGAATAATAACAGTGATAGCAGTAGCAGCGAGAGTGAGAGTGAAAAGGACAGCAGTAGCAGTGAAAGTGAGGATGACAAGAAGGTCAGCAGCAGTGAGAGTGAGAGTGAGAGTGATAGCAGCAGTAGTAGCAGTGAAGAAGAGGAGGAAGTTAAGCCAAAGAAAACACAATGGGTGGCACAAACAAGATATCACAGATTGATGAAGTCCAAACAAGTCAGCAACTATAGTGAGGATGATCTAAGAGCTATCCTGGGCTACAGGCCTAATCAAGATGGAAGAGGTGTTGTCGAAGACGTATGTATAAATCTTAAAAACGAAGAGGGTAACGAAACACGACCCTAACACACTGATTTAATCAAACAAACCAACAGAAGAAAGACACCAACAAGGCATTGTCCAACAACATATACATTGACAACAACAAACAACAACAACAGTCTACATCATCAACAGATAACTCCACCAAATCCAAAGGAGGTCTGAAGATGGTCAAATCCTCAACATTACACTTTGACAATGATGATGACGATGATGATAATTGTTAATAAAGTGATCATGATCACAATACGTAGTGATGGATGGTCCCTCACTCTCCACCTACTCTCTGTTTGAGACTATGTTCCTGCTTTATCCAAGTCAATTACTAATATCGAACTTCTGATTTTTGAATTTGAATTTTGGAGGTTTGATGGAAAACCGTTAACGGCTATGAACATGGTCAACACAAACAACAAAAGAGAACAAGCTTCAAACACAGTCTTATTATTCTCAATCAAACAAACTAAATATCAAACAATAGTGACATTAGTTACTGTTCATCATCATCATCATAAACCCATCACTTCACAACACAACAACACAACACAATTATACAACAATGATCTCAACAGCAGGCATTAGAATAGCAGGACCATTCGATAAGGAGAACGCTCCTGTGGCTCTAAAGAACAAGTTGAGCAGCACATCAAAGGTGTCCACATTGACACCATCACACAACTCACTGCCCAAACAAAAGTCCATGCTCAGTATGCCCAAGACCCCCCGTATGGCTCTCGGCGATGTGACCAACTCCAACGTTACTCCCAACCAATCACTGGGTGGCTCAAAGTCCAAGCTTGGCCAATCCAACACAATGTCCAATCTATTATTCGTACCATCATCATCCTCACAGCCAACATCCATAAAGGTAAGTACCAGACTAAATGTCTCAGTACGTACATCAAGCTTGATCTAACTCGTACCATCACACAGAAGAAGCCATTGATCACCTCAACTGGCGGAGGATTGGTATCAGTTGGAAAGCCCAGATCATTGGTAAAGACAATCACGGCAGACAAGAAGGATAAGGAGTCGGAGAGATCAGTGCCAATGATCGACCCGATGTACCCGCCACCACCCGTCCCACTATCACTCGGTGTAAAATTGAGCAACAACATGATCGAGAGATTGGTAATGACACCCTCGATGATCGACCTTGTCTCTGAAGGAGGTGAGACACTGTTGTCTCTGGATGACACTATAGACTTTGGCAACGACTCCTACATGGACATTGCCATGGTACCAGAGATCAATGAGGCTCCTCCCTCACCCCTTCGAGACTCTGATTATGCCGATGACTATCATTATGGAATGACATCGTCAACTGCGTCATCAACCAACACCTTCTCATTCACCGATTACTTCAACCAGATTGCATTGTAAATAACGTCCACATTGTCCAACACCCTATATACCTTATAACAATAATTTCCATTTCATGGCTACAACAACAACAACCCATTCAGGACATAAACAATCCCGTTTGGTGATGTTCAATGTGGTACCATTATTAATAATAAACTGTCGCCAGGTATATCACCCACCCTACAACAACAATGTCCTTTTCCAAGATGATCGAGTGAGATAATCTTTGTTTGTCTGGATGATATTGCCTGTCTGTCCTGTTTATTATTGAAGCAGCTCGTAATCGTCCAGTTCGTCGTTGTACTCCATGACCTTCTTTCTCATCGATGATCCATCAGCCCAAGTCAACAAATCCTGTAGCTTTCTTGTGATCAACATCGCTGGATCGCTAACAATCTCTGGTCCAATCCTCATATCTATAATTGATAGTGTCGGCCAGTTAACATCACCATCATCAGGGGTAATATATAATTGATACTTACGACCATGTTGTACCAATGTATTAGCATGTGTAAGGTTCTGAGCAAACTTTAAACGGACCAAAAGTACAGACACTCTTCGCCTGCAGAATGCAGCCTGTCCGATTGTTATCAATGAAGCAGTTGACTTTGTATCAATCACACCCATATCATAGAGCTTATCGCAGAGATCATCAGTGACCTTCTTCCTGACTGGATCCTTCTCGTCCAACGTTGATATCATATGTATAATCTTTTGTATTGAGTGTACCAACTTTGTATATCTATATATATTTGTATGTTACTAATGTCAATATAATAACTCTACTACACTATATATATATGGTTGATTAATTGATTGATCACATACGCTTCATATTCCTCTTTGCCAGACAGACCAAACTTCTTTATATCGGCCAAGTCTTTTGTTTTCTCTTTCTTCCAATGTACAAAGTTAACCTTCTTTAGGAGCTTCTGCTCATGAAACTTTAGTTCTCTCATTGTTGTTCTTCTATCTGTTATATATATAAATAATAATATTTGTATGGGTGGAACAATAATGAGATTGTTAATTGAATGTGACTCGTTCGTCAAATGCTATTTGATTGAAAAAACGTGTAAATTATCCACCCCTGTTTGCAAAAAAAGAACACTCATTTGAAGGGATGCAACCAATACATTGATTGACAGATGGATGGTATTTGTTTATTCTACATGGGGAGATAGTTGTGGTCGACTATAACTACTACTATCTATCTATTACCTCTACTAATACTAACTTAAAATTAAACTAAACTATTAATATTGATTATATTCCTTGGATAAAGAGTCGTGATGATGAGGTGATTGGTGGATTGATTTGATAGAGTTGTTGTCGGTAATGACCATGGTCTCGTTGTCGACACCTCCAACTCCACTTCCACCTCCACTCACTAATGTATGTGGTATGGGTCCTGTACTGTTGCTCTGTCTACTACGAGGAATGCTAATGTTCAGGTTCTCCATGGTGTGCGTGGTTTGTGTGAATGCCGAGGTGCTCTGGTGATGGTGCACCGAGTGATGATGTTGATGGTGGATGTTGACGTTCAGTTGTTGTGTTGTAGGCAGGTCGATCTGGGCTATAAATGTTCGCATTGTGTTGTCGTTGATTGAGGATGGAGGATTGGATCCCGCCGCTGTGTTGGACGTTGATGATATAGTCTGTTGTGTGTCTGGTTGTTGTTGTTGTTGTAGTATGTTGGTTATTGTTGTTGTGTTATTGATTGGTTCAATAGATAATGATTGTAGTGTAGATATAATATTGCCACCTGTTGCTATTGTACTGATGTTGTTGCAGTTGGTACTTGACGCCTCAACGCTAACTGATACGGGCTTCTTCCTTTGAATGTAGCCCTTCTGTTCCAATACCGATGAGAATTGTTTGGAGTGCGACATAAAGTCTTCGATCAACTTCTTCTTCTTGTACTCCTCCATCCTCTTCCTCTTGATCACCAGGTCTTGCTCCATCTCCTTAACCTCATCCTTTCTAAAGAGTAATGCTCTGACTATTGAATGGGGATGATTGATTGTGAGTATGATGAGTTACATACTTTGAAGTTAAATGAATATACATACGTTTGATCATTTGTTGTACTCTTACATCCTGTGCGAGATCAGCAGGAGTCTTTCCAAAGTTATTCTTTCTTGCACAGTCTGCACCGTGAATGAGCAACAGTTCACAAGCATCTATTCGGCCGTAAATGGCGGCATAGTGAAGTGGACAGAAGCCTTCCAGATCGCTCTCGTTCACATCACATGCCTCTTCCTCTATCAGCTTGCGCACTTTCTCAAAGCGGTAGTCGAGTGAGGACCACATGGCAAAGCACAGAGGTATGACTCGCTGACAGGTGATCCTGTTGACCAGTTGAACATCTCGATATCTGTCCTCTGGGAAGCTGGTTATTGGGAATCGTGACACAGAGACCTCGCTCGCAATCTTTGTGCAGTAGTATGAGAAAAGGTGATCCTTGACCGATATTGGCAGGACATCCGATAGGTCGCTATTCTGGTATCGTTCCAAGTTTGCAAGTATCACATCAAAGCATAGATTTAATAGACTTGGTACTTCTTTGATAACAACTACAGCTGCCACTGGTTGTGGTGGTTGTTGTGGTATTGATGTTTGTTGTGATTGACTATCCTGTTGTTGTTGTTGTTGTGTCTGTACATTTTGATGTTGCTGATTGACAGTATTTGGTTGTGATTGTGAAGACATTGTCTCCAAATGTGTATATAAATATATAAATATAAAATATATAAATAGTGTAGACCTCCTAATAACTTAGAACTACTGGTAATGATAATGATGATGGATGGATGGATGGTGTTATTATTGTTTAGTGTTTTGTTGGTTGGTAGGTTAAGTTGATTGATTGGTTGGTTGATTGGGTGAGTGAGTTGAGTACTTGATTGACACTTAAACAACCCTTAACACACACACATACACAAACACACTTATAAATAAATAATGGTGGTTGTTTGTTTGTTTGTTTGTTTGATTGAATGTATGTTTGACTGAGTGTGTTTCTGTGATGGACACACCTACCTCTTGATCCAGAGGGTGTCTCAACAACAGGACGTATCTTTTTATCATAATCGTTGGGCCAAAAAAAAAACAAAAACAATCAGATCTCAGGATCTGGGCCAACTGAACTCATAATGGGGAACACACACTTGTTATTGTTTACCCTTTTTTTATTACACATACGACGTCTCATCATTTACTAACATTCATTACTTATTCTGACGACGACCATCAACAAGGAACATAAACTTTCGTTGCTCATCAGTTGGTGGCTGATTTGGATACTTGTTGTTATACTCCTTGTCATCAGCCTCCCACTCTTGAACGAATGACAGATTGCGAACAGTGGACAACCATCGATCAACATTGGGGAACTCCTCCTTGGTGAACTCTGGCACCATGCCATAGATTCGAGCCCATGGGAAGATGCTGGCATCGGCCACGGTGAACTGATCACCGGCTACAAACTGGCGTTGCTCAAGTGCACGATCGAGCACGTAGAACAGACGTCTCAACTCGTTGTGGAACCTCTGGATGGCATAGTGCTGCTTCTCTTGGGCATAGTTGAAGAAGTGGAACCAGTTGCCAAAGTTTGGTCCGACGTTGGCCATCTGCCAGAACAGCCAGTTCAGTGTCTCATTGTGTTCACGTGGCTGTTTCTGTGCGTTGGGTATGAACTTGGCATACTTGGTGGCCAAGTAGAAGAGGATGTTGCCACTCTCAAACACAGTGATTGGATCACCTTGGACATCATGATCAACGATGGCCGGTATCTTTGAGTTTGGATTGATCTTTACAAACTTATCACTGTACTGTTCACCGGCCCTCCAGTTTATGTGATGGTAGTTGAATTCAACGTTCAATGCCTTTAACAAAAGGAATACCTAATAAGTTGGTGATTGATCATTAATTAGTAAATGGATATTATCATTGGAATTTGTTGTACAACTACCAGACATCATGATCTACCTATAAATACCTTTGCAACGTTTGGAGAATTACATCCATAAAAGTCAATGGTGGCGGTCATTGTTTCTTATTATTGTTGTTATAATGTAGTTAGTTAGATTTAATATTTGTGATGATTATGATTTGATTAAGGAGAACATAACTAAGTCATTATTTATACTATTTGTTGTTATTGGCATTAATAATTATTACAAACAAATAATCATTGCTTTTGCCACACACCCCAAAATACTTCCAGAATGGATCTGATCAAATGATTCCCTTCTGTTCTGAGGACATGTTCTGACCGACTGGCAATCAATCAACATCGTTCAGAATCTATTAAATATCTAATCCATCGAATAAAGTAACACTTCAATGATAACGAATGAATTACTATAGTGTTGACAGACTGTATGACAGAAGTGAGCCTCAGAAGGGACTTAATTCAGAATACTCAATCAAAGTAACGGGAAGGTGCACTACAGAACCTTTGTTCAAAAGGCAAGAGAACATAACTTATAACAGTGACTAATCTACGTCATGTTAGAAGTATATATTAAAGAATTAACTGGAACCATAGTGATAGGACAACTCTTGTTTGTGATTGTTCTTGTGCACACTGCGTGAAACGTAAAAGTGAAGTACACTCACTTGATTACAAGTTGGGTGTTATTTGATCACTATTACTTACTTACTTACTATCTATCAATCTCTCTCTTTCAATATCATACTTTGATTGTACCATGGTATGATGATGATGATGATGATGATGTTATTGATTGTATTTGCTGGTGTATGAATATGTAGATCTAACCAATAAACAAACAAACAAACAAACAGCTTCAAGAAGTAGATATCGATGTCAATCTTAATGCCATCAAGGCAAAGGCAGAGGACATAAGGAACCTGTTGCTGACCACAACAACATCAAACTGGGAGGATGCTCTTGGTCACTTTGCTGTGCTCTCTGGTGAGTATGGTGCATTGATGAGAGAGATCTTCTCTATATTGGACAGTGTTGCTGCCTATCCAACTGTCATTGGTCAGGATCAGAACTTGGGTATGTAGTTAGTGATCATACACGCATGATCAATGTCATACTTACAATGATATATATAGTACCCAATCTATTGAGAACCAAACTATCACCAGAGTTGGAGAACATGAATAAGAAGGCGATCAATGCCTATCAACACAATCTAGACGATTCTGATATACCTTCGACTGATACACAACAACAAACAAGGATGGTCAGAGAGCACTACTCATCATTGAATCAGGCCTTGGATGACATTGATGATGATTTCAAACAGAGACTACAATCAAGACAGAGATACAAGTTGTCAAAGGCATCGGCATCAGTCTCTGCCAATATCCTGAGAGACGTACTGTCCAGCACTATGTTGGGCACTGGTCTGAAGCAGTTGAATCAGCAACAACAACAACAACAACCAACGACACCTCTTCAGCCTTCACCTATGCCAATCGGCATTCAACAAACAACTACTCAGATGTCTGCGCCAACACCTGGTGGCGGTGTTTCTATCGCTCAGCCAACAACTCCAAAGTCACAACATCCACCTATGCAGCAGCAACATCAACCACAGCAACAACAACAACATACTCCTCAACAGCAACAACCGATGCAACAACAACAACCACCACAGCAAATGGGCACACCCATTCAATCAATGCCTACACCGACACAACAACAACCGATGCAGCAGCAACAGATCCCGACACAACAACATCATCCAACAACACCGACATCAGTGGTACAGAAACAACAGCCAGTGCAGGTGATGTCTGGAGTACAGGTTGGAACTCCAGGTCAGAATGTCACGCCAATTGCTCAGCAGCATATGACTCATCCTGTGGCAGCTGTTCAATCACCGTTTCCAATCCTGCAGCAACATGTGGCTCAGCCGATGGTCACTTCTCCCACTCAACCAATGCAGCATCAAACACAGCCAGTTATGCATCCAGTGGAGCAGATTCCAAATCAGCAACATATCCCCACTCCACAGCCACCACAACAACACTTAATTCCACAACAAATGCAACCAGTCACACAGCAGCAGCAGCCGATTCCGCAGCAGATTCAGCAAACTCATACCCAACAAGTTCAGCAAGTGGTCCAACAGCCTCAGCAGCAGATTCCTCAGCATCCTATACAGTATCAGCAAACTACCCAAACCCATCCAATCCAAACGATGCCTATGGCCCAGATGGGCCAATTGACACAGCAACAATTGCAGCAACAACAGCAACAACAGCAACTACAACAACAACAACAACAAGCCAGGATGCAAACTACACAAATCCCACAAACCGTGTCACAACTAAAGCCATTCCCAACTCAGGTCAAGCCAATGGCACAAGTACCACAACAGTTACACCAACAACAACAACCACCACAACAACATGTTGTCAATCCACATGCACAGCCTGTGTTGCAACACATGCAACAACAGATTCCAGCTCAACAAGGACAAGTCCCACAACCTGCAATGGTCCAGCAGCCTCAACAACAGATGGCACAATATTCTACACAGGCACATCAAGCTCAACAACCGCAACAGTTTATTGGACAAACAGCTGGTGGACAACAGGCTCGTCCTCCAGGACAGGCCCAACCTCCACAGACACAGCAGCCAATGCAGTACTATGCAGGACAGGCCGCAGGTGGTGTCGTTCCACAGGCTCAGAACATGGTGATGCAAAATCCTACCCAGCAGCAGCAACAACAGTTCATTCCAGTTCAGCGCCAAATACCACAACAGCAGCCGAATGCTCAGCAGCCACAACAACAGCAGCAGGCATTCGTTCAACAACCACAAAACCAACAGTTCGCACCTGGACAGGTCCAAGTCAATCAGCTGAACAAACAAAAGTCACAGACCCAGCTCCCCACAATGCCCCAAGGAGTGCAGGGACAGTATCAACAAGTTGTCCCTCCCCAACAAATACAACAGCCTCAGCAACTTCAACAACAACAACAACAACAACAACTCCAACATCAACAACAATTGCAGCAACAACTTCAACAACAACAGCAGCAGCTACTCCAGCAACAACTACAACATAAGATGCCAGCACAGATGCATGCAAACATGGGACAGATGGCAGCTCAAGGCATCCCCCAACAGATTCCACAGATGCAAGGCCAACAGTTCCAGAGACCACCGCAGACTCAACCACAACAGCAACAACCTGTTCAGGCACAGCCACAACAACCACAACAGCAGTATATGCAGAACCCAACTCAACAAGTAACACAACAACAACAACAACAATTGCAAAGGGGAAATCCAAACGTCAGACCAGTAGGAGTACAGCAAAATCAGCCAGTTCAACAGCCACAACAGCCACAGCAGAATATTCAAGGACAACCTCAGGCTCAAATGCAACAGTTCTACCAGGCAGGACAACAACCTCAACAACAACAACAACCACCACAACAACAACAAACTCAACAACCACCACAACAACAGCAATACTTTCAACAACAACAACAAGGTCAAATGGCCAACACTGCCAACCAGCAGTATTTTATGCAGACGACTGGTATTCAGCAGCAACAACCAGTACAAACTCAACCCCAACAGATAGCTGGTGGTATACCTCAACAACGATTCATTCAACAGCAGCCACAACAACCCCAAACCATGCAGTTCCAGCAAACCCAACAGCAACCAGTTCAAGGACATCCAGTGCAACAACAACCTGGTCAACCAGTACAGCAACAGTTCCAGTATATGCAAACTGGACAAATGGTTCCAGGACAACAACAAATGCAGTTCCCGTACATGCAACAACAATAATAGCGATACAATAATAAAATGTATAAATGTTTACTTTATCATTACTATCTTCCTATCTATCCTTTGGATGTCGAACGATTGTGCTGTGTCTGCTGCTGTTTTCTATTTACAGGTGATGTTGGTGAGGTGGAAGTGGTTGAGTCATCCACACGGAGGACGCACTCCACAGCAAAGTGATCAGAGAGTCTTGTTTGTGGCGTTGCCCCCATTGGCAGGATGGAGGACTCTAGACAGGTCATTCGAAGGAGTTGGTTGCGACCTTCGTCATCACCAAAGTTGGGTGAAAGGTTGAAGCTAAAGATGTAGTCGATGCGCTCCTTGGCAGAGACCTTGTTGACCATCTGGTTTAGCGATTGGTGTATGGTGTAGCCAGGCTGGTGTGGATTGGACAGACGATAGAGATCGTTAGGGGAGCCCAGAATCACCTTCATTGATTCGTATTCCTCGGTTGGTCGCAAGAATATCTTGATCCTATTCTCCTCGTTTGCGTCATTGCTGTAGTTGGTGTTACCACTGCCACTCAGATTCATCTTGTCCAAACTGGAGATGTAGCTAATATCACTGTTGTTGTCAATGCTCCAATAGCTTGTCAGTGGAGGTAGGATCAATTCCTCAATGTGCTCGCTGACAATGAGGGGAGCTGGCATATTTGATTTGAATCGAGATCCCTTAATCAGCTGATAGTTGGCCTTGGTGTCCAGTGTGACTTCGAGCGATCGCTTCAAACTAGTGAGCAACTGTAGATTGATAACGTGGTTTCTAAGGTCGACAAAGTCCAACTCCTCCAGTTCAGTGAGTCCTGAGGAGAATTCCGCTCGTAGACGCCGCTTCAAAGTCATTGTCCAGTAGTCAGTGGATGCTTTCGTGTCATAGTGGAAGACACAGTTGAATGTCTCGAGAATGATATCGCGATATGTTGACTCGTCATCATTGATGGAGGAGGTCTGGTTGTGTCTCTGTGACAACAGCTCGATGATCTCCTTCTTGATAATGTATGAGATCATCTCTGTGAGCATCAATGACTTCATTCGTGGACCATTGATCTGAGATCTCAAAAGACCAAAGTACCTGATTGGGACATTGTTGTTGAGGAGATTATCGAGCAGCTGATGACTGAATGTGGCGGGCATTTCATTCTTGTTGATCTTCTTGGCAAGCTCTGGTATGATCTGAGAGAGTACGGCACTACCTTCGTCAGAGATCACTTGCTCGGCCTCGCCAACGATGTTCATGTCACCACATAGGATCAGACCAGCATTCTTTTGACCAGAGTTTCGAGAGATCTCTGATGAGATAAAGTCCCGAATCGACTGCAGCTGTAGTGTTCTGACGGTCTGGGCCTTCTTGAGCTTATCATCGCCAGACACCATCTGCCAAGCCAAGGAGCCATCGGGGTTGGACTGAAGGTGGGCATTGAATACATAGAGAGAGCTGTTCTCCTTTACGGACGAGATGTCTAGCTTGACACCTTGTACACCTTTCGATGCATGTACGTCCAGCCCAATACCTTCGTTGAACAGTCTAAAGTCACTCCAGAGTATTGGGAATGTGCTGGCAAAGTATAAACCGCTGTCCTCTCCTGATTTGTCCACGATGTACGAGTAGAATGGTTTGAGCAACTTGTTCAACAGCTCCTTGGATTGGGCATTGAACACCTCTTGAAGACAGATGATGTCGTACTTTTCTGGCAGGTTCACGAGCAACTTGGCCACATGCTCACATCTCACTTCTGGTGGCATTGAGTGGTTCGAAAGCAGACCAATGTTTAGAGACATTATACGGATAGAGTCATCAGGCAGATCACTTCCAGCTGTCTTTAGATCCTTGTGCATTGATGGAGAGGTCGATGTAGTTGAGGATTGACCGCTGGGCACCAAACTCTTGTCAATGATGGTAAAGTACACGTAGGATATTGTGCCTGGGACCACTTGCTTCTCGATTACAAAGTTGGGTGGACAGTGATAGCTAAAGGTGTTCTCACCAATGAATGGGTTGTTGAATGACATCTTGAAGTCTCCCTTGAGACCGTTGGAGTAGTAGAAGATCGAGCCATCGGTACCTGCGCACAGACCACTTGCCGTTCCAAACTCAATCGTGGCTCCAGGTGGTATACCCTCGGGTGGTATCTCTGCCCAACTGCCGTGATCAAGAACATAGTCTCGTCGAATGAGAAGACGGGGTGTTTTGTTTGTGATTGATACAAACTGTCCTCTGGTTGCGCGACGGACCGTATGCTTCCAGTTCTCCTTGTCCGCTGGTGTGCCACCTGGTAGAGTGCTCCAGGGCAATGGGAATGAAGGATTGCTTGTTGTTGTGGATGGTGAGAGGGAGGAGAAAAAGGCCAATGGTGAGGCCACATGTGGAAGAGAGTTGGGACGGGTGTTGGGAATGCTGCCGGAGGAGTTGCCAGGTGAGGGCGGAGAGGACATTAGAGAGGAAGGTGAGAGGGATGATGATAGTGATGAGCTAGAGTTGTTTGGTGATGGTGAGTGAGGTGACTTTAGAATCTTGAATTGAGGCACTCGTCCTTTGATGTGCACCTTGACCTCTGAGTGTATCTGACGGTTGATCTCCTCGTGCGATTGATAGTACTTTGACTCGAGTGGAGTCTGAGTGGAGATGGAGCAGGAGTGCGTGGTGAAGTAGGGATTGGACCAATCGATAGTGACGTAGAGGAAAGGTTCCCACAATCTCAAGCCGATCATCTGTTGAGGTGTCTGTAATGCACTGTTGGGTAATGGTGGCATACCAGGTGGTAGTGCCATGTATATGACAGTGCCCTTTGTTCCTGTGAGCATCGCATTGCTCTCTGATGCAAAGTCTACCTTTGAGTTTGGTGCAATCGTCTCTGATGATTGATGAAGTAGGTTGCAGCAGTATGAGTAATGTAAGCTATATCTAGCTAGAGGAGTACTGATCAACAGTGACTACTACGTACCTGGTGGGAATACACGCAATAGACCTTGATGTAGCTTTACAGAGAGTCGTTGTAATATATAGTCTGTTTCATTTGAAACAGTGAGTACAGTTGATCTATTTGCCTTGTACAACTCCTTCTTCCAGTCAGACTGGTAGGTAGAGCTCATGACTATTGGTTATATAATATATATTTATACTACAAATAAAATGATTAATTAATTGTTTTAGCTCTGGCTGAATGTCAGTGTGTCGACACCTTTTGCTTGTTTTCGAAAAGATACACAATCCCTCATGATGGAAGATAGAAAGGACTTGGTCCCAGGGTAAAAACTAACTTGAGCAAATCAAGTTATAAACTCGGTCGTTTATTTAATTAAATATATTATTATTATACCATTATATTATTAAAGCAAGGACCAGGCCAACCAAGACCATCATGGCGTTCACTTGGACAAACGTCGAGCTCGATGGCTTTGTTGTGGTGCTAGACGTAGTTGTTGAAGTCAACTCTCCAGTAGTGGTGCTGGCAGTAGTAGTGGACAGGCCAGTGGTGCTACCGCCACTGGTGTTTGGATGATTGGCGACATATTGGCAAAGTGCGTTACAGTCGGCTGGGCAACGAACAGAGAGCGTCTGTGAGACTGAGACAACACTGCCTGGTGCCTGGCATGTGTACCAAGTATTGGCATACTGGAATTGGAGTTGCTTGTTGGTGCATCTCTGTGGATAACAGGTTGGAGCAGTGGTAGTGGCAGACGCATTGCTGACAGAGATGAAGCATGCCGAGCTATCTCCAAACACCTCTCCATTGGCATTGGGTTGCTTGTTGGTGTCGAAGCAGTAATAAGACTGAGAGTAAACCTCGGCTGAGTTGAATGGGCAGTAGGAGAAGAGTTGGCCATTGATGCTTCCCCAAGTGTTGTCAGAGAAGTGCTGGTACTCTGCAGAGAGGGGTGACTTGTAAGTTACAACGGATGTGTAACCAACACCGGCTCTGGTAGCTGTGCAAGACACCAATGGCTTGTTGGCTGTGAGTCCGGCGGTCCAGTAACCCTCGAATCCCCAGGTAGTGGGCGAGCATGGCTTAAGGGCAAAGTCGCATCCCTTCTTGAGACCCCACATCAAGGGCTTCACGTCGTCGGTCTGACTTGTGGTGTACCAGCCAGAGTCCTTGAGCAGGGACAGGGTGAGTCCAGTGAGTGGCGCCGAGGCCTGGGCATAGCCCAGCATCAGCTCCTCACCAATGCGAAGAGCGCTCCAATGGCTGCCAGCAGTTCCAGAACCTCCGTTGGACTCGAGCTCAGCACCTTCCATTGAGTTACATCCATAGTGGTCTTGAATGAAGGCCTTAACAGCGGGTGTGGTCAAGAAAGTCTTTTGAACTGTGTAGGCTGCTCCAGTTGGGGAGACCTCATTGGAAACAACATTCTTGGTTGCAGGACTCGAGGGAGTGACAGTGGCAAAGTCACTGTACATGTCAGAGGCAAAGCCAAGGGCATGAGTGGCCTCGTGAAGTGATACACTATTTGATATTTAGGGGATGGATGGATTTGTCAGGGAGATGCTCTTGGGCTGAGAGCGTTGAGATCTACATTATTACTTACGCAAAGAATGTATGCCACTCAGCCTGGTTCTCTTTGGCATAGGATGCGTTGGCAAAGTTGGCAAAGAACTTTGGTGCAAAGTTGATCAGTCCAACTATTGGTGCTTTGGTGTCTGACTTTTGCAAGCAAGCGGTGGCGTAGGCAATGACGCCATCATCCAAGGTTGGATGAGCAGTGACGTAGAACATATAATCACCTTCAAAACCATTCTTAAGGTCGATGGTGTAGTCCTCACCGGCACAGCCATAGAATGGCCTGGTGCCAATCTGGCGAGCAGGACCTGTGACTGACAGAACATCTCCATAGGTGGATGTAATGTGTGGCAACAAAGTGTTCTTGATTACATTGATCAGACCTGGCGTAAGCACATCCTGAGCTGTGCATGAGTAACTTGTGGCATGGCCATTATCATTGTTCAAAGAGACTATCTGGCCCACTGATGAACATGTCTGTTTGTTGGTGCTCGACGAGAGGAAGGTATTGTTGAAAACAATCCTCATTGGGTGAGTGTCCACAGCTGCGGCGGAGTTGATTACATTGGCGTCGGACATGATAGCAGCTGGTCTTCTGGCATGTGGACTTCTCTTTAGCATTTCGTAGCCACAAGATGGGGACTTGGGGAGGGGTACGCTGGGGAGTGGGGCACCCTGGAGCAATTCAGTCAGCTGGGCAGCATGTTCCTCAAGCATTGGCAAGGCCTTATCTATTGAAGTATAGGATGTCTTTTTGAGGCCCTGTGTAGCCAATGAGAAAGAGGATACAACCACAATAAATAATATTATTATGTAGTTTAGTTTCATAGTATTTTTATAAATATATAGTTATACAGAGATAATAATAATAATAAATAATTATATATATATATATATATAAATGTTTAATGTTCTTTGTTTGAATTAACCAATAAGAATCGATGTTGTTAATATCGATAAATATATTTCGGAACGGTTTCATCTAGAGGCGGATCGGTGACCCGTTGTTGAATTGGTTTGGGGGCATAGATCTAAATTTAAGATGAATCAAAACGACCCAATAGTTATTCCCTAATCACACAGACAGTGTGGGAGGACTTCGGATCACACTAAAAGTTTGATGGTGTCAATCCAACAATGTGACCTCATTGCAGGGTCGTTGTCAAGAATGGCTTTGCTTTTCCCAAACCTCCTTGAGGGCAAACAAACATGTAGCAAATATAACATAACGATTGTGGAACCTTCAAACTAGCATCTCCTAGGTGCGAGTATGATAGGACCTTTAGTATGAACTAGAGGTGCAAAGAGAATGCTTGCCATGGCAAGCCATAACTTAAATCTTGTTCTTGTCCACCGTTTTTGTCTTCCTCATGGATACTCGAAATGTCTACCTCAATTGAGTGATGAATCTCTCAAGAGTTTAACAAGTCTTGATACGTCATTGATGGATATAACAGGTAAAAGAGATAAATAAAGAGACAAATTATTTTATTTCATAATACCTTTGTTCAGTGATTGGATGAACACTACTACTACTTGCTGCTGCTGTTGCTGCTACTGTTGGCAGCCAGACACTATAAAGTTGGCTCCTTTAGTGTTTGCAATTCTGCATTGAGACTGTTGACGACCTTGGCCAACTTGAAGTAGGCATCATTGTTGGACTTGCACTCCTCCAACCACTTCTCACACTGAACCTTGATCTTTTGTCTCTGGAACCAAAAGTGTGCGCGAACAATGTCTTTCCAGTGTGCTGGTGCCTTCTTCATCATGTCTGTCATTGCCCACTCAATCGTGGCAATACGAATGTTCTGGTTGTAGTTGAGTGACGATTGCTTTCCTTGTGGCGAGCCAATCTGTGACTCGTAGCCAGGCTCATTAAAGAATGGTTCGGGCACGAGGATCAGTGATTGGATCGAAACTAAAACCTGGAGCAGTGTCGATGTGTTGGCATTCCACGTCTCACCAGCACCACCGGACCACGTGCCAAGCAGTGAGAGACACACCTTTCCATTGTTGTAGAGGTTCGGATTGAATCTGACCGTGCCCTCACCAGTGGTGGTCAATGTGACACTGGGTGGGGATTGAGGATAGTTGGGTGGGAATGTGATTTGGAAGAGGAAGCAACCAGCACTGTATGGAGTGTCGGCGGGGCCAGTGATTAGTGCCTGCATTGTGTCAATGTTCTTCTCGTCAAAGCGAACAAACACCGTTGAGTCAAATGTGATTGGCAGTGATGAGCAAAGACCTCCTTGCTCCTGGGCAATACGTAGGATTCTTTGCTGTGATGAAGAGCTGGCTGTCTTTGACGTGACAAAGCTGGCAGCATCAAAGAGAATGGGCTTGAGCATCTTGACGTACTTGGCCTCCACGGATGCGTCCAGTGGTTCCTGTGGTATTCCTCTGTTGACCTCTAGCTTCTTCAACTCGTCCATCATTGACTTGAGTTTGCTTTGTACATTCTTATTTACATCGATAATCAAACTCTGTGCTGCCAATGCCTTTTGTCTTTGGTGGAGTATAGTTAGAATGGGTATGACCTGTCAGGACATAATATGATCATTGCGCTTGGTGGTTACTTACTGTGCCTGGTCGAGATGTTTAAAGACAATCTCTACTTGTTGTGCAGCAGTCCTCAGTAGCTCTCCAAGAGAAGTGGACTGGAAGGACAACTGGGTGAAGAGTGGTATGAACTGCTCGTGGTTGGAGATGGTATTGATCAGTGTGAAGATGGACAGGAACAGGTCTTGGTGTCTCTCGATATCTAGTGGTACAATGTCTCTGCAGTAGCTCTCAAAGAATGGCAACAAACATGACTCCTCCATGACGTCAAATGGAGGCAGTTTGGAGTGAATCTCCTTCTCGATGGCATTGATCAATGAGATCGTCTCTTGATCACGTTCCTTCTGCGCTGCGACGTACGCATCGATATTCCAACCATTCTGACCGCCTCTAGATGACGATCCATATCCGGTGCCCTTTGCCCAGAAGGCCTTGTCCGTTGTATTGGCCTTTGTCTTGGTGATCACCACTGGTACTGGTTTGACAATGCTAGATGCCAAACCATACTTTTGATTAGCACGAGGTGGGATATTGCTTAAGAGTGATAGAAGAAAGAGAGAAAGGAGAGAGTTAGAACATAATAGGTGATCAACAGTTGATTGATTAACAATGCATACCTCAGGATTTCAAGCCTCAATAGGAAGTGCTCAATAGATGAGTATGAACCTGAGCTTTGTAGTGAGTTGAGGGGATTGTTAACGTCCAGTTGTCCAAACTTTTCAAGAACCTCTCGGAGATGGTTCAACACGAAGCGCATATCACAAACTATCAATGATGAAGGAAGGGAGGAAGGAATGAGTCAGTATATAAGGTCACTCATCAACGATAATGTCGATGATAGTTACTTGGGTTCCAATTCTCCAAGGTCAATATCTCCAAGTGTGATATCTATATATTATGTAATAATAGCATATAAATATTTATGTTAGTAAAGGTATTAATAAAATGGTAACTGATACCCAGTTACCAAATATGGCATATGTGTGATGATGACAAAAACTTACCTTTCCAATCAAGAAACCCTGTAGCCTTGGTCTGATGATCTTGAGTGTTGGAGGATAGAAAGGGTAGAGATCCTCTGTGAACAGAACTTGAATCTCCACGTAGTCCTACATCGAGTTAGAAGAGTAAGTATAAGTGTGTGATTGATTGATTGGGTGAAGGGTGTGTTCGAACACATACATATTCATACTCCTTCTTGAGTAGTTGCAATTGTTGGTATATCTTTGACTCTGGATTGAATCCAAACATCTTCACACTCCAAAAGTAGATATTGTCATCGATTGGTTGTGCAGAGAATCCCTGGAATAGATATGGATATATCATTGTAAGTAAGAATCAGGGCGACTGGAAATGATAATTCCTGTACCAATCACTACATACGAGACTATGAACATTCTGCATAATGTTGAATAGGTCATTGGTCAATACACCAAAGGCAGCATCTGAGCTGAATATAGTCTTGACCTTTGGATCCTTCTTCTTCTTGTCACCAAGCTGTGCACGTATCTCTTGCTCCTTTTTGGCCCATATCTTCTTCATCTTTAAGGTTTGTAATCTATAAACGTAGTTGATTAGTGACTTGTGGTGATCAGACCATCCAGACAGACAAACATTCCAAAAATAGATAACATACGCCTCTTGGAAATGATCATTCTCAAAAGTGTCATCCTCATCGTCATCAAAGTTGTCCTCATCAGATGCACCACCTGAACCATAGTCATCGTCTTCAATCACATCCTCATCTGGATCAGTGTTGTCTTCATCCATATCGACATCACTCTTGGCAGATGATTGAGCTGTCGTTGTGGTCGTTGAAGTAAGGCTATTCCTCTGTATTTCGTATTCCTTATGGGTCAGTTATTTTTTGTTGTTGTCATTGAGAGGTATAGTATATACATACACTCTTGTAGTACTTGTGGGAGAGGTCCAACAGATCGACAAAAGATGATGGATTACTTGATGGGATGTCCTGATTCAATCTTCTGATCCAAGCCTCATTGGAAGAGTCCTTGGCAACGAATCTCTGTTGTTTGTTAGAGGGTGTTAGAGAGTTGGAGACCACTTAATTAGAGTAGAGTATTGCAGTGACAGACTTACGTATGCCTTGTAATCAGAGATATCAAAGGGGAATGTGATGTTTAGTTCGAATCCCTTGTAGAGCATCTCAATTGTGTTCTTGGTGGACTGCAACCAGATATACTCCTCAGGGTCATCGGATGAGCTCTGCCATTGTTCAAACTGTTTCTCAAGATGTGCTGCCATGTATTAATAATTAAATAGATAATGTTGATGATGATGATGCCGTTTCTGATATTGAGATCCTAACTATAGATATAATTGTTAAGGAAAATATTGATATTTAGATTATTTATACTATATATTATATTATATATACAACAGTTATAATAGAGTGATAACAACAATAACAATAAAGAGAGTTATTAAAAAGTGAAGGTTTCTTATTGATCAATTGGTCTGGTTCTGGTTTTTTTATTGTTTGAATTCACATCACACACCTTCACAAAAACAACCATTAAAGTACCACACTTCATTCAGTTTGAGTGTGTTTGAATGAACGAGAGAGAGAGAGAAAGAGAGAGAAAGAGATAAAGGACTGACTGCTGAAATAGACTAAGACAGACAGACAGATAGAGAGATCATCATCGTCGTAAATATAGACTATATTATACTGTTATTGGTTTACTTTTGAGATTACTACTACTACTGGACATGGATAACTGGAATCAACAACAGTTCAACCAGATGGGTGGCATGCAAGGAGGTGGTGGCATGCAGGGAGGAATGATGGGAGGTCAACAACAACAACAACAGCAACAACTACCAGGAGGTGGAGGAGGGCAACAGTTTCATCAAGGCTATAATCAAGCCTCTACTGGAATGTCGGGTGGTGGGCAACAACACAGATCAGGTGGTGTATATCAACAGCCACTGCAACAACAACAACAACTTCCTCCAAACCAAATGAAGCAACAACAACAGAATATGAATCAAAACTTCAATCAGGTATCTATCTATCTATAACTACCATGACATCATCATCAAACTAATTAACCCTACCTTTAACCACATAGAACTATAATCAGTATGGTGCACCACAACAAATGAATCAGTACCAACAACAGCAGCAACAACAGCAACATACACCAAACAACTATGTCGGAAACCAAGCACAGTACAATCAGTTTGGCAATAGAATGGTGGTACCGCAAGGCGGTGGAGGTATGATGCCGAATAATCAGATGGGTGGTGGTCCAATGATGGGTGGTCCATCCGGTGGAGTCATGATGAACAATCCTCTGGGCACCGGTGGTGGTGTTCTTGTGGGCCAGCAGATGTCTGGTGGGATGCTTGGCAATCAAATGACTGGTGGTGTCGGTATGGTCGTCAACAACAACAATCCTATTCAGTCTGGAGGACTGGTACCAGGAAGGATGCCAGGCGGAATGATTGGCTCTATAGCTGGAGGTATCCCTCCACAGATCGTTGCCACCCAACCAAATGGGCGGTGCTATGTCGCAGATGCCACCCAACAACCAAATGGGTATGCCAATGTCTCAGATGGGTCCAAACAACAATCAAATGATGGGCAACCAGATGTCCGGTCCACAGTCAATGATGGCGCCCGTGCAGATGGGTGTCAACCCAAACACAATGAACAATGATACATCAAACTTCCGCGGTGGTAATAACAGTGGCATCGCAATATCAGGAAACAACAGTGGTGGTGTTCAATCCAACTCCTATAGATCGGGTGGTGGAAATGTAAACTCCACGTCTACAGGTGGTGGAGGCGGTGGTGGTGGCAACTGGAGCAACAAGAACTCAGGAAGAAATAACGCCGGTGGTGGTGGTGGCGGTGGCACAAACAAGCAACAACAACAACAACAACAGCAGCAGCAGCAGCAGCAGCAACAGTTTAAAAACAAGGACAGAGATGGTCATTCAAAGGGATATCAAAAGAAGGACAATCAGAACAAGCGTGGGGATGAGCAACCCGCCAAGACCAAGAGAGAGCACCAGACTGTGTCCAGCAACACGTCACACACTTCAGACGACCGCATCAAAGACAAGAAGTACATTGTGCGCATTCCCAACCACTCTTTCGTCCAGCACGACTTTGACTACGTCTCCCTAAAGAGGATGTTCTCTCGTCTGTACATTGCCCCAGACTTCACGCGACTCATCCTATCATGGGTGACTACAGATACCACAATCAATATCAACCAACCGATTCCCTTTGTCATCGACTCAAAGGACAGTGGACATCATACCACACTTGCAGGTACCGAATCAGCAACAACAAATGACCCTTTGGACAACCATAACGATAATGATAACAACAACAACAACACAAGATACAACGCCAAGGTTATGCTCTTCCAGAATGTACCTCAGGACCAACTTGATACACTACAGCATCTTAACAAGCGTATCAAATTCCTAATTGCCAAGGCCAACAAGGACATTGCGTGCATTGGAGGATCCTGGCAGCCAGAGACTGATGGAAGAGACGTACGTGACCCACAGACTCTTATCAACACTGCCATGTAAGTAGTCTAAACCCAATATTCAGTTCATTATCAGTAGTACTGACAGCCATTCATTCATTCAATAGACGAACTACAAAGGAAAGAACTCAACTGGACCTTGGAAAGTGCTCCAAGTGGATCAAGTTTATGGAGATACATTACTATCGACCACCTACCGAGTCCTCTCTGGAGCATATGGAGGTGACTGTTGTATTTGTACCTGATCTATCAAACATGCACCCAGTCAATCCTTTGCCCACTGCCATCACCAACAATATCACCCCAACCACCAATGACCATGTCATGACTGAAGGCACCAAGACCGAGGAAGCTGAGAATCTCGACAAAAAGGATGATCAGGTCCAAGAGCAACAACAAGATACCTCCGTTGTCAACGAGCCAGAACCATCAACAACATCAGCTATATTGAGTGAAACAACAGAAAAGGCAATTGATAATGCAGACACTCATGTTGACTCCATTGTCAAACATGAACCGACAGCCGAATCAGCCACCAAGGAGTCACCGACTATCGATCATCCCAACATTGAGGTGTCAGCAACTACAGTTACTGACAAGCCAACTAGTTCGACGACCCCAGCATATCACTGTGTTAACGCTTCAAAGTCTGGAGACAACAAGCTAATGGTGCTGTCATTGGATGGTATACTCGAGTATGAGGAGAGCGACAAGTTTGAAGGCACATTTGAACTATCCCTCTTTGGCGAATTCTTCTACACAATGCTGTGTAGAGATATGGGCAATCTCGTATTGGACTCAATTCTTGAGTTCAATCCATTAGATGAATCCTCAGAGGTGTCTGGTGACACTGCCTCATCACCAAGTAGCAGTCAGATCACTGGAAAACGCAAGCGTGAGAGTTCCAATGAACAAGATCAACCACAGACTTCTTCAGAGCAGCAGGACCAAGAGCAACAGCAACAACAGGAACCAGATTCACGTGCCACAGTCGAAGAGTCCAATGCAGAGCGAGAACCAGGCGAAATGTCAGACAGTGAGGAGAAGGCAATGACCACTGCGACTACCTTGGCAAGGTTGGAGACGCTACGATGCTACAATCAAGCCTATGAATTCTTTGATCAGAATGGTGCCTCCTATCTCAAGAGTGAGGATGTAGAACTCATTCTCCTCAACCTGGGGAGGTATCTTTCCAAGTCGTACGCCTCCAAGATTGTCAAAAAGGTAACGGTCAACCATGGTGCCAACAGCAAAGGTCGACTCTACTATGAAAGGATCACCTCACCTACAAACAAACAACAGTCATCTGGTACCGCCTCCACAACCTCACCAACAAACACCTTGGCATCACCATCCTCGGCCAACCAATAAAGTGGATGGTGTAACTGTCTCTTCCAAACCATATCCTATAAGATAGAGATAGATAATAGATATATATATATATAAACACACAGCACCAACAGATGTACATCTTGGTTTGTACTTTATTTCTTATGCTTCTCCTTCTCCTTCTCCTTCTCTGCCTCCTCGGCCATTGCCTACATAGACGTACATTGATGTATGGTTAGTTATTGAAGTTGATAAAGTGAGACAGACGATGATCGATTACATACCTTGGCCAAAGCTTGCTTGGTCTCCTCTTCGATTCTTCTGATGTCCTCGATGGTCAGACCGAACCACTCGTCGATCCAACAGAAGAGGGCCTTGTGTGCCTTCAACAGAACGTCTCTGACACCGGTCTTTTGGATCAAGGCCTCGGCCTTGGTCTGGAGTCCGAAATATCTAAACTCGACGTGCACCAGCTTGTAGCAAGTCATCACTGGCTCCACTGTCTGTCTCCAGTTCTCAGTGTCCAGGGGACCTCTCTCAGTCTTGACCGACTTGAATATCTTTGGATCCTCGGTTTTGACATAGTCCTTGCTGTCGATTGGATCAGTGGCAATATCGATGTAGTCCACTGTTCTCTTCTTCAAAGTGTCCTCGTCACAGTCCAGAGCCTAGGAAGTAGTAGGGGAAGCAATTGTTAGATATGGACATCTCAAACATCAACATTGACTTTGTGGTACATACGTTCTCAAGCTCTCCTCTGCCTGCCTTATGTATGGACTCAACTGTGATGGAGAATCTATCGCCAAAGAATGGGCACTATATATATGAATGTATCAAGTTGATGTTAATTGTTTGTTGTTGTTTATAATCTCTGCGACAACAATAACAACAACATACACTGAATATAGTCTTACAGTATGGATAGGCGTTCCATGCCTTCTCCTCGACCTTGAGAGCGCTTGCTGGCAGAACGGCAGCGGCCAACTTTGGCAGAGAGTTCTGGAGATGAATGACCTTGTGAGTGTATTGACCCTTTGACTTCTCGTTCTCGTATGGCTCATTGACGAGAATCTCAATGCCCTCGCCACCCTTTGTTTGTTCCTTGCTCTTCTTGGAGACCATGTAGAGTTGAGCGATCTGGTACTCCTCGACCGTCACTGGCAATGTCATACGACTGAATTAGAGGTTAGAATATGTCAGTTCTCATGCGTTTACCTCAGAGAGAGTATTTGATGATGTTGTTGGTGCTGTATGTTGATTGATTGATTGATTGATTGATTGATTGATTGATTGATTGATTGATTGATTGATTGATTGATTGATTGAGACAATAGTGATGGTCATCACTATTGTGATCGAATCTTTGTGTCAAGAGGTGACCTTACTATTCCTTTATCAACATGTTCTGTCTTGTATAAAAAAATAGAGTAATAGTAGTTGTTGTATTAGTTCAATGTAATAAAGAAGTGTTATGTATTGATAGATTCAAGAGGTTGGTGATGATGAACCTATTCCAGTGTGATGTTGACCAAATCATTATTTTTTATTCTTTTTTTGTGTGTATGAGTGTTCCCTGAAAAAAATAAGTTTGGGTGACACCAACCAAACAACAGCATGACGAGAGTCATCGCCGACAAAGAATGTTTGTTGTGTGTGGTGAAGGAACAGATAAACATTCATTCTATCTATCTATCTATCTATCTTGTCGACAACAAATGACAATGAATAGACATTTACTATTGTTTACAAACTAGGTACCTTAACATTAGTTCTTAAGTAGATAGAAGATAGATTGATTTGGTAATGTATCATTCTTGTGTCGGTTTACCAATTTGAGCAACAACAGGTCTTGTTCTCTCTAATAATAAAGTAATATTTATACTAGTAAGAATGATGTTCATAACGTCTTTTAAGTTTGACAATAATATTATTGTTTCTGTCCAATAGACGCACTGTGTCAAGTCCAACTGCTGCCATTAAACCTCAAATTGTTCCCATTTTTGGACCAACAATCAAACAAGGTCAAAATTAAATTAAAAAAATGATTAGTGACACAACACAATCATTCAAACAATCAATCCACTCACGCACATTATAATTATAATACTACAACTACTAAAAATATATTTAATTTATCTCTTTGTACATTTATCATTCATTCATTCATTCATTCATTCAATCATAAAATATATCAAACTCTCACTCATTTAATCAATCATCTATCATCAAGAAGGGCATAAACAAAACAGTACTGCCAAACTGTACATATAAATATATATATAATATAAATATACTCAAGATCTAGACGCAACTATCATATATTAGCGCTATATTCATTTCAGCACGGAGAGGAAGACTTTGTCCAAACGCAAAGTAATCCTATATCCTGTACAACCCAGAGGTATCAATCAAAAATAGAGCACTTTAAAAGCCTATTCAACTCGATGATGAACTACTTCACCGCCGACCCTCAACAACAGCAGCAACAGCAACAGCAACAACAACAACAGCAGCAACAACAGCAACAGCAGCAGCAACAGCAACAACAGCAACAGCAGCTGGAGCTTAACCAACAGCTTTTAAACAACGGCGGAAGCAGTAGTGGAAGTGGTAGTAGTAGCGGAGGTGGTGGCGGCGGTGGCGGCGGCGGAAGCAGCAGTGGCGCTGGAGGTAGCAGCAGTATTGGATATATTGCTCAAGGAAGCTCGAATCTTACAACCAACAACACAGCCCATCCAATCGTCAAGGATCCACTAGCACCTGAGGACTTTAATGAGATCAACAAAGGCTCAAAGACTGTGGAGATTCCAAACTTCTCATCGTACAAGGAGAGCTTTTACACACCAATATTCAACCTTTGCAATGCCAACTGGCGTCTGTTGATCTTCCCCGAAGGAAACAACAGTCCTGGCAATATCTCCATCTTCCTCGACTACTATGACATTGGCATCAACCCACTGTTCGAGAAGGATGCTGGTCTAACCCTGACGCTCATCAATCAAGCTGATCCAAAGAAGAACGTCAGAAAGAGTATGTATTGCAATCAAATACTTGTTTAGTGTGTGTGCATGTTTTGGCTCAGACTTACTGACAACAACAACAATATGTTAAATTGATACAGCATCAAACCACAAGTTCTCATTCAAAGGTGTCAACTGGGGATTTGTTAGTTTCCTCAATCTTCAAATCCTGTTAAAGCCAGAGAATGGCTTCCTCATCCAAGACAAGTTGAGGATACGTGTAGAGATCAACTCACCAGTCACTGTAGACAACTCTGATCCACAGTAAGTATCAACCCATGTTGGACGTCCTCTACTATGTAGTACTAACATCTTCATGGCTGTGTCCTCACCTCCTCTAGAAATCATAAGCCCTATGGAAAGTTCTCCTACTCTTTGACCAACTTTTCACACCACTTTGAGAACTTCTATTCTCCAACCTACTTTGTGTGTGGATCGAATTGGCGAATATATATCTTCCCCAACGGCTACTCTTCGCCCAACTACTTCTCTGTCTATCTCGATCTGCTCGATGTCAAGTTCAAGCCACTGTTGGTCAAGCATTTGTTCTTTGCCATCGAGATTGTTAACCAGAAGAACCCAGAGAAGAACTTGAAGAAGTGGGTTGACCATGTCTATGACGACAAGAACATGAACTTTGGCTTCCCCAAGTTCGTCCTCTTGTCCACCTTGACCAATCCCGACAATGGATTCATAGTGGACGATACTGTCATCATCAACATTGAGTTCACAGTCATGTCCTCCAATTTCATCGAAGATCATCAGAAGTATGTTTTTTTGTAAGGTCTGAGAGTTTATCAAATCACCTACTAACCATCAACATACATATATTGTTAGTTTTGAAATAGAGTCCAACCTATCCAAGCCACACTGTGGAGCGTTCACATTCCATGCCAAGAAGAGCCAGAGCACTGACCTGATCTTTTCACCAACGTACAACATTGCTGGAAGCAAGTGGCAGCTGGTCAGTTACCCATTGGAGAATCTCACCGACTATTTCTCAATCTATCTCGATCTCGTTGACATCAAGACGAAGCCACTACTGAGGAAGCATATCTCTTTTGCCATTGAGATTGTTAACCAACACAACCAAGCCAAGAACTTTAAGAAGTGTATGTTTTCAAATTGACAATCACTCCCAATTGATTGTGACGTCCTAACCACTCCTATATATATATATATATATATATATATATATATATATATACAGACATAAGCAATATCTATTCATACAACTCATTCAGTTGGTTGTTCCAAAAGTTCATGAAGAACCAAACATTGTTGGACCCAAAGCTTGGCTTCATCAAGGATGACATCATCATCATCAATGTCGAGCTGATCACGGTTTCCAGTGACTTTTTGAAACCAATTCCATTCAAGTACCAAGTGGCACCACCCATCGAATCACCCAGGTGCATTGAACCTGCTCAGACCATGTTTGTCGATGAGAGTGCACAGCATCTACTCCCTGTTGGTGAGCAGGTATCAAATGGCTTCCACTATGAGATCACAGACTTCTCCACTCTTGACAAGAGTTTCTACTCGCCAGTATTCTCCTTGAACAACACAAAGTGGTAAGTTACTCCATACGTATTACGTGGTTTCTGATGTGTATGTGTGTGTGGATAGTCCACTGACGATTGCTTACTTTATAACAAAATAGGAGGTTCTATGTGTTCCCAAAGGGCAACAGTGCACCCAACTTCTTCTCCCTCTACCTGGACTATGTTGATCCAAAGATCAATCCAAAGACCAGACAGTACATTTGCTTCGTGCTAGAGATTGTCAACAAGAAGAACCCTGCCAAGTCAGAGAGGAAGTGTATGTATACATTCATTCAATCACTCTTAAACATATCAATATCACAATACCTAACATTGTGCACCACCAACGCATAGACTCCTTCCATACATTCTGCTACAGCAGCGTCAATTGGGGATTCAAGAAGTTTATATCATTGGAGAGCTTAAAGGATGGCACATCTGGATTCCTTGACAATGACTCTATCACCGTCCGTGTCACTATCTACTTCTTGGCTCAAAGCACTCTGGATACTGAGCAGTATGTATCTTACATCTCCTAATCACACATCGCATTACTTGATCACTAACCTTTGCATACACTAGTCTCTTGTCATATTCTCATGAGAGATCCAAACACTTCCAACTTTACAGCAACGACAATGTAGAGAGCTTGTCCCCAGAGGTGCTAAAGAAACAAAAGATGGATGAGGAGCAGTACTACTATCACACGATCAAATTGACAATGGACTCTGACTTTGAGGCGGGCACCTCGTTTGACCTTGTCGACTTTGCCAATCACACACCCATCAAGATCAGAAAGACGTCAACTCTACTTGAGCTAAAGGTAGTGTAGTATTTTAAACATATCCTCACAACAAACACACTGACAGCAGTCACTAATATACTTGCACACCACCTTACTTTAGTTGCAAATTCAAATGATCTATGGCATATCATTTGAGAGACAGAGGATATGGTTCTGGGACCAAACACAGAACCAATCAAAGCCCTCAAAGGTTAGCAGGTGTCCAGTCATTCTCGACGATGAAGACATATGTATGTGTACTTTTATTAACGACAGCAGCAGCCAACATCTTATGATTACTAACTCTAACACTCTCATTCTAGTTAACCAATATACCAATCACTTTGGTCAAGTTGAGATGAGGTTCCACTTGGAGATCTCCAACTCTCCAAATCCAAACGTAAGTGTGAAGCCATTTAAAATAGATGATGATGATTGATTAACTAACCTTCTATAACGTTACACTAATCAATCATTATCAATAGGACAAGAACCTGTTCTTTGATCCAATCCAAGCAGAGAGTGCCTTGATCTTCTTCAAGTACTACGACCCATTCAAGCAATCGGTCGAGTACGTTGCCTCCAAGATATGTCCAACCAACTTCCCAATCTCTTACCTGACACCATTTTTGAATCAGAAGCTTGGCTTCCCTCCCAACACACCCCTTCTTCTGTTTGGAGAACTATCCTTGAACCTGGTGTATCAACTCGACCCCAACAGAACACTCAAGTCGTTTGAGATCAATCATGGCGATATCATCTACTGTCAGAAGTACCAGACATTGAGGTAAGCATCATTAATGTGATCGAGGGAATCGACTGAACGGTGTACTAACTGTACTCTCTCTCTCTCTCTCTCTCTCTCTCTTTTTTCATCGATGTAAACAGAGGAAAGGCATTGATGCCATTCGTATCAGACTATTTCAACTTCCTTTACAACAAGATCATTGTGACCTTCCAAATAGTCAACTACAAGAATATCAACAACGACACTCCATTGACCTTCAAGCTAGAGATCCTCAAAGGAATGAGGCTAAGCGAAGTGGTGAGACGTGTGGCCGAGGTTCTTCAAACGTTCCCACAAAACATCAATCTCTACTCTCTTCCATCGTCGTCGACGTCATCGAGCAGCAACGTTGAACTGCCAAGCATCAGCAGTAGCGGTGGAGGTAGTGGCAGTGACATGGGCGGAGCCAGCAGCTCTGCATCCAGCATAAACAGATTGATCACACCAAGCGACAAGACGTTCTACGACACGCTGAGCGCACAGAACAGAAGGCAAGAATTAGTAATGGTGGAGGCGAAGGAGACATATCTTCCAATCAACTATCTCTCGGCACTTGACCCAAACAAGGTGTTCTCGCTTTTTTAATGTTAATAATAAACCATGGATGGTGGAGAGGAAATGTATTTAATGTAACAACTGTCCATCTGATTCAGGGGAGTTTCAACCTTATACTACAGCTTCCATCATAGACAGGAACATAAATTAATTAAAAAGGGGTCGTTTTGATTAACAAAGTCAAGTTCACCAGACCAAACAAACAAACAACAACCACGACAACAACTACAATGACAGGTAAAAGAGTATCGATTGTAAGCACCTTCATACTGTTGTTTGCGCTTGGTATACCAGTATGGTGGCACACAACTACAACCTATAGGTCAACGGTTGACTTCTCCAAGATACTGGCCTATCAAGAACAGTTTAATGATGTAAGTAATAACATTTTTGTTGTTGCAACTGTACATTTATGAGCAATAGCAATAGAAACAACAATATGATGGTTAACTGACCTCTATATCATCATCACATAGACCAATATAGTACAATGGCCACTGTTTACAGACTTTATACAACAGAATCAGAACCAAAGGAAGCAAGATCACAAAGTAGTTAAGACAGCAACCGAGTACTGTCTATCTTTCACACTGTTGAACTCTGATCCTTCATCCTCTTTTGTTATCCCTCGATGGGACTTCCAAACTCTTTATAAATGTATGTGTACATACATATATCTCAACTAAGAACACATCTCAATCATCTTACCAATGGCTATCCTCCACCTCATTGTCGTCATCAAACTAGATCACTTGCAATCATTTGTCGATCAGATATCAGACATAGCCAACTTTACTGTACAATCAAAGATATCACACTACGCAACACTTCTCAAGCCACCAACCTTTGATAGACTGAAGAATCAATACATTATTCCGTCACAGTCATTGTCAGAGTACATCAATCCCAATGAATGGAAATTAGGTAAGCCTATTCTTATACCATCCAACACGTTCACCTACTAACCGCGCCGACCTATAGATACGACATCTACCAACCAGCCAACACTTAACTTTATTATATTTATACCAAGTCAGTCCCAATCTCCTCTATATATCGATGATGACAGCAAGAGCAATTCATTCCTCATCCCTCAATGGGGTGGCATAATCATACACAATGTACTGGGCGAGCAACAACAACAACAACAAGGTGATAAACAATCTTTCCATCATGTTGATTTGAGTGATCAACTCCAAGATTCTTTGGTCACATTCAGATATCAACTGCAGGAACTGCTTGGAATCGAACAAACAAAGGAGGGCGCCAAATGGAATCAGATCAGCGAGCAACAGTTGCATCAATTGATCGTGCAGTACACTGCCGAGAACCTGAACGTCACTATCAACACGCTCACCTCATTGTGCTCGCTCATCAACAGCATGCCCAACATGAAGGTATTGGACAACATCAAGGATGAGGTGGCCAACGCCACTGCCGCACTGGACAGAGCCCATCAAGCACTCGCCTCAAAGGATTATCGTTCTGCGCTGCATGCTTCCAAGATTGCATTGGATGCGTCAGAGACGGCATTCTTTGACAAGAACATGTTATCTCAGTTGTATTTCCCTGATGAACACAAGTACGCAGTGTATACACCATTGTTTGTACCTGTATGTTTCCCAATTATTGCTGGAGTTATCCAAGAGGTAAAGAATGCAAAGGCCAAGCGTAAGGCCAAGCAACAGTAGAATCAAAATAAATCAGGTTGGTGATTGTGATTTTATTTGAATTGAGTCGTTTCAACAAAATATCTATTTTTATTAATTAATCAAAAGGTGTTCACAACACAAGGAGGAGACATTAACATGTCGGACAATAACAACATTTACCATTCAACAATCACAAATAACAATAACAATATTTATGTCGTAGGTTGAAGATCAATAGTGTTGTATCCCTCTGGCAGGCTGACTGACAAACTCTACCTGTTTTGTTATTGATTTTTAGGGAGGTTCACGTATTAGCAGGTCGAGCACAAGTGTTCACGCACTCTGCGGCCACCAACAGTTGGGTTCCATCGGCACAGAGTCCTGGAACATTGCTCATCTATCACCACCAGGTCAACAATACTTATCGAGTCATAGGTCGTGGCTATGAGGACCCAACCATCATATTGATCAACTTTGCCATTTCAAAGGATGTGGTTTATAAGTATGCTTCACCAAATTTCCATACATTCTCTGATCAAAGAACACATTATGGACTCAACTTCACCACAAAAGAGGAGGCTGATCAATTTGGAGGAGGCTTTGAATCAATCATTCAGTCACTGAACTCATCCGCTGCGGATGACGGCGCCAACCTTTCTGTGTCAGGTGGAGTTGCTCCAATACCCCTGGTTCATCAAACATATACATCTCAACAACAACAACAACAACAACCTCCTCCCCAGATGTCTAGACCAACAGGTGTGCCTACAGTGCGTCCACAGTCAACAGTACTTAATAAGCCTCCTCCTCCACCCGTAACTCCAAAACCAACCACTTCAACTTATTCAATTCAGGAGGAAACAATTGGAAATACTAATGAGTGTAAGTAATCTAATTGGTTGATCATTCCTCTTCTTGCCAACATTAGAATATAACTAATCATTAAAAATAGCCACGACAATGACAACAACTACAACTAAATCATACGATAGAAGTGGTTCATACATTGGCAATTCCTCATCAGTGAACTCTGCTCCTGCCCCTATTGGAGCACATGGCGCAGATCCAAATTCGTTGGGAGGCAATGTTCATGAGGACAACAAAGCCCAGGGTGGAGGAGCAGCATCCGGTCTTAACATGTCAGAGGTGCTATCCAAACGTACTAACCTCAAGAAAACACCATCATCATTTATTGGTGCCTCTGCGACCTCTCCTACTACTACAACTACTGAGCCCACTCCCTCAAATCCACCTCCTCCACCAAAGGACAACTCAGTCCATGTACAGTCGACACCAAAGCCTAAACCCCCACCCACAGTTGGTAGACCAGGTCTCTCAGTTGTACTACAACAACAACAACAACAACAACAACCAAAGCAAACTACTCAACTCACCTTGGAAATGCAAACTCTAAAAGAAGAAATAATGATGGAGATGAGGAGAGAATTTCAACAGTTTGTTGAGGAGATCAAAGAGGAACTCAGGAAGCGATGAATGGTCCATTCCTCCTCCTGTGGTGTCCTCCTTTGTATGATTAGCAGTCGATACACCACACACTCACGATAATAAACAGATGTTATAAAAGTTTAAACTTATCAATTAAGTGTGTGTGTGTATGTGTTGTGTTGATTGATTGATTGTGTTTGTTTGATTGATTGAGTGAGTGTGTATGTAGTTGTGTTGATTGTGAGTGCGTTTGATCGTTGGGTGAGGGTATGTATGTGTATGAGTTGTGATTAAGTGTGTGTTGTATATAAAGGTGTAGTGTTTTATCATGGTACCCAGATGTTAAATGTGGAGGGAGTCAGCTGACTGGACAAATATTCATCATAGCAATCCTTACTTTTAAATATTAATAGAGATAACAGTTGCAGCAACACAGGTTATTGACATTCTTCCTAGACCTCATCAAAGTCTCTGAGAAAGGTGTACCTTTGAATATTTTAGTTAGTAGGTACTTTAATCCAACAGCTGGTGGGAGACATCCGGAACAACAACAGGATAAAGGATAGATCTCGATGTTGTTGTTTCTGTGTTGGCCAAACACCCAGAGACACATCAGCAACGTTGGTCACCACCATCCCCATTAATATATATATATATATATATACATGTGACTTGGAAGGATACAGTTACCACTTTATGGTGTTGTGTGATTATTTGTTATTATTTGTTTGACAACACTCACACATACACAGTTTTAAAACATCTACCACCATTCGAATTGTCAATCATCTCACCATTGACACACACAACAGCAACAGCAACAACAACAACAACAACAATGCACACACAAATATAATATAGGCACACACCATCATCTGATGATCGTTGTTGTGGAACATTGGCCATACACACGGTGTTGTTCAACAAGTGTCTCAAGATGTTTATAAGCAGCAAGAGGAGTACTTTGAATGCTGGCTGTTGTTGAGGTTAATGGACACCCCCTTCTTTACTTCCATCCATCTTTTATCAATCATCCATCTTAATCATCCATACGGCGCGCATGTGCACACCAGTGCCACCCACATAAAGGCTACGACGCTCAATTACCCCTACCCATAGAGATAAACAACACATACACAGTAGCACCAAGCAACAGCAACAACAGCCATCAATCATCAATCAATCAATCAATCAATCAAAGTCAAACCGATCAACTCCTCCTCCTCACATACTTACACACACACACACACACATGCACACACTCACTCAATCAATCAATAACTCACTCATTCCACATTATCTATTGTCCGCACATCATCTTAATCATCATCATCATCATTATTATTATTATTATCATCCTACATCAGCATTCTATTAAGAATTCTTTGTTTAGTACAACAACTTTATTGTTGTTTCCAGCCAAGAACAGACAAACATCATCCACAACGACCAGACCCATTGATTGATGATTAACCATAACAACAGCCTCCAGATCCATAGTAAATCAATTTGACAGCAGCAGCAGCCAGAGTGTCAGTCAGACAGTCAATCGGACTCCAGGAGTAACAAGAATTCAAACAACAACAACATGTCGTTAACAGCGGTTTCACCGTTGGCGCCTCAACCAACAACTTCATCATCATCGTCATCATCATCGTCAGACACTGACTTACTTGACCAACTCATTGGCTATGTTCACAATCCAAACCAAGTACTTGCTGGTGGAAACACACTTGCCAAGGGTGGCTCCAACATCATGATCCCTATGATTCAGAACATCAAGATTCGAGAGGATGGCCAATATCATGTTATCCCTGTTGTAGTGTCCCCCTCTTCAACAAACCAACAACGAGTAGAGCCATTGGTTGTTTCCACTGGCAACAATGAAGGAGACGAAAAACAACAACAACAGGATCAACAACAAGGCGTCTTTCAAACAACTATTGGTAGCAGCTCAACTACTACCACTGAAGGATCAACTCTCAACAATAATGCATCAGAGTGTGACTTTGAACTGGACACGTCATCATCTTTGTTGAAAGAATCCTCCTCCAGCACCGTCCTCCTACTACCCAGTAGCACTTCAACATCTTCACTCCCCACCACCTCTGGTGGTGGTCTTGTTTCTACGCATCCACACAGCCTACATCATGTAAATAGTCATCACCAATACTTCAAGAGCACTCCAAACCTGTATATGCCATCACCATCGATCGATAGAAATCATCAATATGCCAACACTGCAGCAACCACCAGCATAAATATCATCAACAACAACAACTACAACAGCAGTAGTAGCAGCAGTGGCCATAGTAGAAACAGTATAAGTAGCAGTGTAAGCAGTGGCAGCATTAGTGGAGGTGCCAACCATCATCAACAACAACAACAGAGCAAGGGAAAGCGTTACAAATCAGTCTCAAACTCTGATTTCAAACTGGAGAGCAGCAAGGTATCGCATCACAATCACCATGGTGTTATGGTCTCGTCCAGTTTGCCACCACTTGCCCCTTTGCCAACGAACCAATCGACTACGTTTTTGACCTCGCCTCTGTCATCATCCACGATTGGACTGCCTACGTCAATGGGAAGTGAATCAATCCTGGCCAACAGTATAAGCCAGACCTACATTCCAGCGCTGGCGTCGAGCTCCACAACCACCAGTACCACCTCAACCTTTGTTGGTAGTCCACCCTCTGGATCAGAGGGATTCACCTCTCCCATCAATTCACCGCCATTCTCTTCGCTTTCCCCAATACTCAAGGCGCACAGCTTCAAAAACAAGTTCTTCACCCAGCCGACCAGATGTCGACTCTGCGAGCAGTACATGTGGGTGGTCATTGGCAAGCAGGGCTTGATCTGTCTGGACTGTGGTAGCTGCTATCACAAGCTATGCGCTCAGAGGATTGGTCATAATTGTGCATCCTTCAAGAATGTGGCCAAGTCCACTACAATGGTGTCCCTGGACCACTACCTACACAAGATTCATCTTGATGAGTACACTGACACGGTTGGAGCTGTTGGTCCGACAACCAGCAGCAGCAGGAAGAATAGCGTATCGGCATTGAACACCAGTAGCAGCAGTATCTCCTTTAACAACAACAACACATCCTCATTGACTGGTGGCAGCAATACCCCACGAGAATGTATGAGTCCTCCGCCAATCTCATCGCCCTCTCCACCTCCATCAAGAGAGCACTCTAGGGGAAGGGAGAATTCAATATTCCTCTCCTCCAATGGAAGTGGTCAGAACCTTATGCAGGCCCTGATGAACACACAAGGCCCTCAACCAACAACCGAGAAGAAGCTGCGTAGGAGCAGTGTGGACTCGGCTCTGCGAGACTTCCAACAATCGTTCAAATCATTGGTGTCCACTGATGAGAACTTGATATCACGTAGGTTAACCTGTTGTCTTGTTAAGCATGATGGAAACAACCACTAACAACTGATATCTGTTTCTTTCTTTTTATTTTAGACTATGGCTGCGCTTACCTGGGGTCAGTTCTAAAGCATGGACGACTATATCTAACTGAGAACTTCATATGCTTCTATGACAACATCGTCTTTGACAAGTCCAAACAGAGACAAAAGGTCGTACCAATCTCCAGTATTACTGGCATTGAGAAGAGGTCAGGACTAGCACCGAATGGTATACTAATCAAGACTCAGGAACGTGATGTAAGTAGAATACTTGATTTCATCAACTATTTATATATAACTAACACCTCTCTCTCTCTCTAATGTATAGTATCAATTCTGTTTGTTCATTCATCGTGATGAGGCATTCGAGGTGATTGAGGCTCTGATGCTCAACCAAGAGCAACATTTGATGTCGCAGAGCATTGCTCAGAAGAACATTGTTGGACTCAGACAAGTGTTGAGTCAGAGACGCACCAGATCTTCCTCTGGAAAGACTAGCAAACGATCCAAGAGTGTGGATGGAACTGTCATTTTGGGATCCAAGATACCCAACACCAATAGGGATCATCCCGTGATCACCATCATCAAACAGAACGACTTGGAGATGCTCAATATCCTTCTTGAGCACTACACCCAGAACAAAGTCGATGACATTAACCACGCAGACAAGTAAGTAACAGACATATGTCTAGATTCTCCTGGCTCTCCCCAGTTCTAACAAGACCAACAACTATATTTAGGGAAGGATACACACCTTTACATGTGGCAGTGTCAAGTGATATCTCTGACAACATAACGATTCAAATTCTGAAGCATCCCACAACCAATGTGCATGTTAAGAATGTCGATGGCAACACACCACTGCACTACTTCTGCCAGAAGTATCGCTCGCCAGAGTGCCAAAAGATCGTCCAGATGTTCATAGAGAAGGGTGCCAACGTCAATGAGCAAAACAACAATGGCGAGACTCCACTTCACAAGGCCATCTTTAATCATGGTGTCCGTATGCTAATGGTGTATGTGCTTCTCAAGAACAATGCCAACATCAACATAGTCAACCACGCCGGAGAGTCAGCATTGCACTATGCTGTGAGACTGGGTCGTCTCGATGTCTTAAAGACACTTATCACTGCTGGTGCCGATCCAACACTTGTCAGCACCAAACAAAAGAAGTCTCCACTGATGCTGGCAGAGGAGGAGAGCAACTGTACAGAGATCATTGATCTTTTGATCAGACTCGAATGTATGTTGTATAATTGTGTCACAAAGTTGATATATATTCTAACACACAATATCAAATAGTTATCATCAATACTCTCACAGTATCCGGACTGACACAATTCAAGATGGCATTGGTACTTGAGGAGATATCACAAGAGGGCACTCTTTCCAGAATGGATGACGAGATGATCACAAGAATAGGCTGTGTGGACCCTGATCAGAAGCGTCTACTCTTCTCTCTCAAGCACAAGAAGATCCTCGTTGGAAAGACACCACACATCACAGCTGGTGCGATGAACCTCCTCAAGGAGCTGGAGAACATGGATATCAAGAACGGCAAATGGGTCATTTCGCAGCATGAGTTGGAGTACACCGACAAGATTGGTACAGGAATCTCTGGAAAGGTTTACAAGGGCCTGTACAGGGGTAGAGAGGTCGCCATCAAGGTGCTCAAGTCTGCTGACGAAGCAAACAGCCGTGAGGAGTTCCTGAAAGAGTTCCATGTCTTGGCATCGTTGCATTCCAACTTAATTGTTGGTCTGTATGGAGTGGTTCTGGAGCCAAGGATCTGTCTGGTCATGGAGTACTGCCAACAAGGCAGTCTGTACCAGGTGTTGCACAATGAGAAGATGACATGGGAGAGATTCTTCTCCTTTGCCGGTCAACTTTTGAATGGCATCTCTACACTGCACCAATCTGAGCCGCAGATCCTTCATCGTGATGTCAAGAGTCTCAATTTCCTGGTGACTCGTGACTCTCGTATAAAGGTTGCCGACTTTGGACTGAGCCGTTTCAACACCAAGTCCAACATTATCACACTCAACAAGACCAGAGGAACCAGTGCCTACTGTGCCCCAGAGGTGTTCCAAGGCCGAGAGTACAAGGACAAGAGTGACATCTACTCACTTGCTATTGTATTTTGGGAGCTGATATTCACAATGTTCAACGGAAGATACCTACATCCCTATGGAGAGTACAAGAAGATGAACGAGTTCCAAATCATGCTCTACGCTTGCAACAACAATCTTCGTCCAACCATTCCCACTGTTTGTCCCAACAGTATCAAGACAATGATTTCCAAGTGTTGGGATGCATCTCCAGAGGAAAGGCCCACCGCTCTCGAAGCTATTGAGCTTTTGGCATTGGCTGAAAAGGATTACCAGCAGGATACCGCACTTTGGGCTGAGCTCCTATCAGGTCAACCAATGGACTGTTGTTCAGAATCATCATCACTATCCGATGAACCGATACTCCTATCCCCTCCAAGATGATCGAAAGATTTATCATTAAAGTAATAGGGTCATCCCATCTTGATCAACATGTCTGTCGTCTTTGTTAGCAGATACCACAATAACAACAAACCATCATTGGACTTTACTTTGGTTCTAGGAGTACAGATAGATCATACAGTTCTTTCTCTTCCAACGTGGGGAAGTGCAACAGGAATGTGTTGATGGGTTCTTCTGCTTGGAATGGGAACTGTGTCTCTTGGAATCGAGCAATGTTATTCCAAGCATGGCAGAATAGGTCGCGTTTCTTGAAGTTGATGAGAGGGGACACTTGTTGGGTGCCTGCGTCTGGTTGTAAGATATCTGGGTTGCCTTCTTCAATAAATGTCAAGTCTGTCAATATTATTCCACTATTGGTTGGTATACAACGACAATAATATATAGTTGATTAATGTTAGTCATAATGAGATGTTAAATGGGGACCATGCTATTGAATGCAGCACCTACACATATGGTATACAAGGAGAAGAGACAGTGGCCAAGATATCTCTGTAAGTCTTGAATGATTTCTTTGAGGAGAATACACGCTCACACTCTGCCAAGGTCTTGGAAATGTATGGTGTTGTGTGTCAGTTAGTAATGCTTGTTGAGAAAGAATAAAGGTTGTTGTGTACCTACCTGTGTAGCTGATGATGACAATTTCTTCTTTGTCTTCTTTAGTCGATGTATTGGCGTAAGACTCAGTCCTGCCACCAGACTCATCAAAGTGTTGAAGTTGTTGATCTTCAACAGTGCCTTTGCAATATCGATAATCTTTTCAAAGACCTTGAGTCTCTTTTCCTTCTTGCCCTCCAACAGTATCAGTCTTGCCACCCAGAATGATACCTATTGATGTTTGTGAGTGGACGGACCGATCATTAACGTCAATAGATGGCATTCCTTCCAGAGGGATGGCCTATACATACCTGTGTAGATCTGTAGATCATTCTCATGACGTTTGGTGATCGATACTTCATCTTTGGTTTGTTGAAGTTTTGATTGAGGAGTTCCCTGGCCTCAACATCCTTGAAGATGGCATAGTCGATAAGTGTTAGCTGCTGAGCAATCGAAACTGAACTCCACTCCAAGAAAAGCTCCAATGGTGATAGGACACAATCCTCTGTGAATTGGATCCTTGGTGGCATCTGGAATAGTAGTTCCAGTTTCACCTCACGGTCCTCTATCTGATGTGTTACAAAGTATGTTAGATAATGCTGACGACACTATTGTGTTTACAAACAAACAAACTTACCAATTTGTTGAGAATGTCTTTGAGAACCTTTGACAACTCGGCATATCCATCGATGGGAATAGTGTTGTCAATGAAATTATATATCTGATTGACGAGATCCTGGTCGAAATCAGATGATTGATTGACGATCCAATACTTGAGCACTACCATCACTCTCTGTCTAATCATCGATATCTTTGAGACATTGGTGGTGTACCATTCTGGCACTGCGTATCTTTCCAACAGTTTTGTGAACAATACCTTGGGCTGAGCAAATGATTGATAGGTTGTGATGAATGTCTTGAGGAACTTGGAATCTAGAAAACAGTAGTTAGTTATCTATTGCCTATCACTACCACCAATTCTATGATAACATCAGTTACTTACCATAGCTGTTCTCGTTGGTCAACATTACGACCAACTGATTGAGTGATGCCTTCATTGGCAATCCATCCACTGGGAGAGCAGGCATCTCTTGTTGATGTAGTATCTTCATCTCCTCCCAAAGGTTGATAAGATCTGCTGTACTGTGACTCCGACTCCTGTTGTTGTTGGTGATCTCCTCTCGATTGTTGTTGCCCTGGGTAACCAGAGTGTTGCACACCGAGCAAAATGACTGTGTAGCCATTTGGAGTCGCGCAATCGCCAGCAACAACTCCTTCGATAGACAGGCCAACTGCACCACAACTGCCTCCGGATCAGTAGAACGGTTTCTTGACATCCAGTCCGCTTCCAGACTGGCCTGTAGACCGAGCACACGAACTGAGTTTGATAGATGGGCAATTGTTGGGACGAGACTCTTCTTGAGGTAGAGCAGACTGGTGAATCCGTTGCCAGCGGTATTGACATCGTCAAGATTATACCAATTAGGACCAATGAACTGAGCAATGCTTTCCATCGATGGTGGACCCTTTTGAATGAGCTCAGTGACATTCTGTATCAGTTTGGATCCATGATGGGATGCTGCTGACTCGGCTGTCAAAATGAACAATATCTGAATGTGCTCATATATCTTGTTGATTGTTTGATTTAATAATACACCTGTTTGATTGATTGATTGATTGATTGTGTGATAAGTATTATTATGTCCTCTAATATTACTACTACTACTAAGCAACATTACTTACTTGTGGAGGTTGAGTTGACCACCTGTTCATTTACAAGGTCTATAATGTTCAGAGTCTCCTCCTCCAGAACCTCGCCAATGTTTTGCAAACCTTCGACATTCTGCAATGAGATGGCAAGACCTTCCTTCTTGGTCAAAGTGCGTCGTTGGTCAGAGGAAGAGGAGCGAGCACGAATCGATCTTCTACCAGACGCCGTCTTTGGGATCACTACAGTGCTCTGTTGGTCTGGTTGTTTGTTGCGTGTTATTGTTGTAGTTGTCGTTTTGGTAGTGGTCAGCATCATCTTGGGAGGATTGAAAAGGTCCTGTAGGGGTACAGTAGGTGGGGTAGAGCTGGAGGGAAAGGAGAATGAGGCTGACTTTGGTTTGTTCACAGGTGCCAACGATGGTGACGATGATGATGATGATGTCTGAGGTGTTGAGCTATTGGGATCTATCGACCTTCTGCTGCTGTTGTCCAAGTATTCAGAGATGAAACCAATGTTTTCGCCGTCATTTGTTGACGTTGGGTGATCGGATGAGATGAACTCTGGGTCGGTTTGAGATGAAATGCTTATAGATACATTGGAGAGTTCTGTATGAAATTGATGATGATAATGATGATGGTGATTAATTATGAGGAGGTTGGATGATAATTATGATCAGTGAAGAAACATACGCTCGGTGATTGATGTGGAAGTTGGTAGAGATGATCGTCTTGATTGAAGACTCTTTACACATTGGATGTAACAGTCATAGAATTTCTCCACCTCCTCCTTGTAGGCAAAGTTAACTCCTATGCTATCGGTCTTTGAGTCATGTGATGCAGTTTGCTTGATCTCCAAGAATAGATCACTACATTTGATTATGCTGCTGTTTGTCCTGACCCATTTATTAAATATACACTGTTATTATGGTTGATAGTTTACTTGAGTGTTAGAAATGATTATTCTCGTCTATTACAATGATAGATAGATAGATAGATAGATAGATACCCTGTTATCATTTGCAATGGCAACCAAACGATATTTCGTATCGACTTGATTGTGTAGAATCTCCAATCGACAAATAGCATCGTCTATGTTTTGCCACTTGAGGTATTGATCTCGCTGGAACAACACCGCTGTAATACCGATCAACGACGTTTCACTGCATCGATGACAATGGAATAATAGTTAGTCAAAGTGTTAACAAACAATTGTTTGTTTTATAATCAATCTACTTACCTCATTCTTGATGGTATGTATGTGTGTATTTATCTATGTATGTATGTAAGTATGTTTTAATGGCTGACCAAAGTAAGTACTTGTTTGATGGAAGACAACCAGATTTTTGATCAAAATTAGATTTGTTTGTTTTTTTTGGGCAACAACACATCCCCACAAAAAGATACACGTATCTTGGCGCCATAACCCTTAACCGACTTTATTGATCATCTTCTCCTTCTCTTGCGACTACGGCTATCGCTGTCACTGCTACTGTCACTACTACTTGAATCACTGTCACTGCTACTGTCACTGCTACTATCGCTACTACTGCTACTACTACTGCTTGAATCATTTGACTTCTTTTGTTGTTGTTGTTGTGTAGACATGATCATCTTTTGAGAGTTCTTGAGGAACTCTCGCAGATCATGTGTAAGAGCTCCAAGTGAGATCGAGGTAAAGAAGTTGATGGCATATCTAGTGTTCTTGGGATTGTCCTTGGGGAAAATGCCGCCAAAGTACTCCTGCATCGATGGGTCTTGCAAACGTTCGTTCAGCTTTTGAATGCCAAGATACTCATTCATCTCCTGGAAGATGGTCTTGATGAAGATTCTACTTGCACTGTTGGTGTCCTCCTCGTTGATGTGCACGTGTTGCAGAATGGACCAGGACATTGCATCCGAGAAGAGTAGGTGTGCGAATAGCTTGCCAATGTTCCTGAACTTGTTGGTCTCGATTCGATGAATGGTGGCATATTGCTCAATGAAGCATTGTTCAAAGTCCTCCCTGTATACACGATTGATCATACAGAATCGTTGCGCAAGATTGCCATAGAAGTTAAGGTAGGTACGTTCTTGGCTACAACACTTGATGATCATGTTGCATATCTCGATCTCTTGACCCTGACCAATCTTCATCTTGAGTATCTTGTGTGCGCATTCTTCAAAGTCTTTGGAGGACATAATGACGAGGTAGACTGTCTTCATCAAGTTCAACAGGTTGGTGTCTGTCTGATCATGGATCTCGGTAGTGGTCTTGATCTCGGTGCCAGCAGTGGGTGGTGGTCGTCGTCCGTCATCATCGTCGTCACTGTCCTCGTCATCGTCATCGACATCCTCTTTGCTCTTCGTCGTCACCTTCGTCGCTACTATCGTCGCCCAATATTTTCCTCTTGACCTCTTGGAACTCCTCCTGGTGAACCAAAAAGTCTGGGTCCTCTTTGAAGAAGTTGGTCTCTTCTTCTGTGTTGTAGGTCTCATCGAGTGTCAAGTGCTCATGTGTGATCTGGTCCTCAATCTCGACCACGTCCAACTCTGGTACAATGGCAGGGTACTCCTTGAAACCATTCCTGATCACCTTGAATAGATCCTCTATCATGTATTGTACTCGCTTATCTATCTCTCCCTCGTGAAGGATAGCCCTCAGACGGTCATTGGTGCTCATGAAGCCCTGCTGTGAGATCTCTTGCAAGATCTGGCCACATTCCTTGATAAAGTCGACGGCGACCTCGACAGAGTCATCTGTGGGCTTATCAAGTAGGAGTGTTATGATCTCCAGGGACACAACAATACCGACCACTTGTTGATTGGTTAGATGAGCAATGAAGCGAGAGGATGTCAGACAGGTTGGCTTGTCATTTCTTCTGAAGGCCTTCTTAAACTGCTCCACCAAACGTTTGACAAGGAGCTCACCATTGTCTGGTATCTTGGTGTTGATGATGGCCACCAGAGCTGCATAGACATTGGTGAACTTTGGAGAGATCTGTTGAGCTCGCATCAGTGCTCTGGCCCAGAGGCCCTTGCCACGGATGATGTTCTCGCCAAACATCTCCACTGCGATGTTCTTAATGTTGGATGTGCTGACCTTGTTGGTAAGACCATTGATTGACTTCTTCAGCGCATCCCACTCCATCCTTTGATATTCTGCTGATGACTTGTCACTGATCTGCTTTTGCATCATCGCCAACTTGAATGGAGGTATGTAGACACCCGTAGATCGCTCCTTTGTTTGAGCCTCTTTGACCTTCTCCTCAACTCTCTGATCTCTTTCCTCTCGTTGTCTTTGATCTCTGGCCGAGTGGTGTGTCCTCTCTCTTTTGTCGTCTCCTCGACGTCGGTGATTGTTGTGTCGAAGCTGTTCTTGATCACTATTGTCTGATTCATCACTCTCATATCTCCTTCCTCTTCTATAGTCAGAGTTGTCTCTATGATTCCTTCTATGTCGTCCATTGTCTCTATCATTTCTTCTTTCCAACGAGTTATCAGAGTCATTACTCCTCCTGTCGTCACCAACTCTTTCAGAGGTGCTATGATCGTCATTTGGTGGAACATTATCAATGGCAGTGCTATGTGTTGTCGTTGAGAACTCATTCACTATTGCTCCTTCCTCTTCCTCTATATCTTGTTTATCCATGTTGTTGATAGTTGTTGTTGTTCAATTTAATGAAAATACATTTATAATATGAGCAACTTTTGCTTGTGAAAGAAAATTCGTCAATCCTATTGTTTGAAGTTCAAAATTAATTGGTTCAAAGAAATTATCTAGTAAGTAATAATACAAAGTTTGAGGATTGATTCATAATTATCTATCTGAAATTATAATATATGAAGTTCATATTAAGAAAGATCTGGAACTAATTAAAATTCAATATGTTTATGTAAGGGTAGGGTCATATGATCTCGATTGTGTGTCGACCAAGTCTATTATTAGGAGACATCAAATTTTGACAATATAATTTCAAAAAGATATTTGATCAAACAATCCAGACAAACAATCATTACCCACATTCATACATACATTAATAAATACACACAAACACACATTCACACACACACAAATAAATACATAAAGTATACACAAACACACACATCCACAAACACCATCAAAGTATGTAATTTCTCTCTTTGTTGCCAACTACAAGAACAATTCACAGACTTGGTTGTCGGGTACTACTTGGATTGACATCACTTTGAAGTGCCAAGACTACTACTTCTACAACTACCTTCTAATATATTATACTACTACTAAAATAATACTACTACTAAATAATACTACTACTACTAAAACAATTGCTAAAGTTACTTTGCCATTACCCAATTTATTAATTACCACAGTCAAACATTTTAATCACCAACATAAACACATCACGTACTACTACAAATCATGATCTATAACCTAACCTCATCATCATCATCATCAAACAATGCTTTTACCACATTGGACAACATATTCTTCTCTAGAAGTATGGCAGAGGTACTCAACTCTGAGGGACTGCAAGGAATCGAGTCGAGCAACAGCAGTGAGAATGGTTCACCTCCTTTCTGCGAGGCAAAAAAGAAGAAATATGTTTACTCTCCAGGTAGGTAGTTCATAATGATCTCCCTGGAATACTCTGCAAATATTTCCTCCGGTTTTTTGGATTCCTTTTATTAACATTTATACCAATCAATAACTATTTAGATTACATTAGGGAGATTGGTCGGTCGTCATCTGATCAACTTCAACAACCATCCCAACAACATTCTGAACTGACCAACATAATCTACAAGTTGAGGGATTTGATAATGAGCTCCAACGATGATTCTGTAATCCAATCAATGAAGAACATTCTAACAGAGAGCCAAAGTGGGAGGATTTTCTTAGTTGGTAAGTTGTTGTTCAACAACAAATAGTTTTGATTCTACAACGGTTCAATTATTAACAACCCACCCTCCACCTCTTGCTCAGATGTTGCCTTAGGAGAGACCAATCTCTCATCACTGTCAAACAGCTTTGATCGTTGGCCAACCACGGCATCATCCTATTTCCAAGTCTCTTCGCCAATCGTATCCACAATCAGTGGCCAATTGCCACCAATCCGATCTTCCTCTCCAAGGAAGATTGATACAGTTCTCACTCCAATCCCAGTTGTTCCACTGTCCCAACAACTACCACAACAACAACAACAACAAGCAGCATTCAGATCACCAAGAAAGCAATTATCACAAAGTAGCCTCAATCTGAGCTACGCGTCAGCCTCTACAACGCCCACCACAACCACACCAACCATTGGAACTCCAACAATTTCACCCAATACTTCTTCATCCTCCATTGATACACAAACAACTTCAAACAATGGAATGATCAAGAAATCACCATCAATGTCCACAATTCCCAAGTCAAACATCAGCGAGTTCATATCAAATGACTCATTGAAAGAGTTTGGCAACAAATCAAAATCGAATGCAAAGGCATGGTCATCTAATGTGTCTGCAAACAATATCTTTGGCTTCGGAAATAGTGTCAGCAGTGGAGGCACCTCTTCTCTTGGTGGTGGCGTTGAGGAGCAATCACTCAGGAAGAGCTCATCAAACTATGACCTTAGTGCCCCAAGGAAGTCAATGACAAAGTCGTTCTCTATGACTTCAATCTCTGCTTCGGATTCCTCTGCTCTGAGCTTAAAAGAGGTGCCTCTCGATGGTCTTGCTGGCCAGGTGTACAGCCTCACCAAGTACCAGGCCGGATGCCGATTCCTTCAGAAGAAGCTCGAGGAGAACCCAACTCCAGAGTACGTCTCATTCATTTTCAACGAGATCTACGACCACTTGTCAGAGGTCATGGTGGATCCCTACGGTCAATATCTCATCCCCCAACTGATGAAACACTGTGACGACGATCAGAAGAGACTCATCATTGAGTGTATCGCTCTAGATGTTGAGCGATATGCTTGTCATAGATACGGCATACATGGCGTTCAAAAAGTGATTCAATCCACTCCGCTCAATCTCATCAAGGTGGTCACCGAATCAATGCGTTACAAGGTGGTGGTCCTTTCAAACAATGCCAATGGAAACTATCTCATCCAGTCATTCCTCAAGCAGTTCACACCAGAGATCAATCAATTCATTTGTGATGGTGTCATTGAAAATATGGTTGCAATCAGCACAAACAAATATGGTTGCACAGTCGTCAATCGTTGTCTCGAGCATGCTAACCAACAGCAACAAGATACACTGATTGACTCAATCCTTGGCCACTCGCTTCACCTTGTCCAAGACCCATTTGGCAACTATGTCGTTCAGCACCTTTTATCCAACAACAAGTCTTATTCTTCACAACTGCTCAAGAGACTCAACGGCCACATTGTTGGACTCTCAGTACAGAAGTTTAGCTCTAATGTAATTGAGAAATGGTTGCTCCAATCCGACCCATCAGTTGTAGAGCAAGTTATATCCGAGCTCGAGAGGGATTTGCCTAACGTCCTCCAGGACAAGTATGCCAACTACGTAATCAAGACCTGTCTGGATGTAGCCTCTCCAGATCAATTTGCAAGATTGGCGAGTGCTATAGTTCCCCACATTCACAATATCAAGACACCTTACATTCTGGGTATTCAAAAGGTAAATATAATGTATTCTATTGTTGGCTGGACTGGAAAATACTGACAAGCTTATCCTGTTTATTGTAGAAAATCCTTGGAACTATCGCTTGATACTATGTTATGTAAATAAATAAATATCTGGTCTTGGTTTGGTCGTTCATTGATATGCGACACGAGAGAGCAAGTGCACGATGATATGGTGTATATATATAAGTCGTGATGGTATCGGGTGAAGCATGAGTGGTTCTGGCTACCTCCATATATTCCATCCAAGATGCTGGTGACCGATAACTCTTATCGTCATGTGGTGATCCAAGATCGATCATTATATAGACCAATATTGATACTCCAGCTCCTCCAAGTGATCATCGAGAACTGTTCTTCGCCTTCCTGGACACATGATTGCGGAAGTATGATATGTGACAGTTCTCCTTGATGGCTGATCACTGTTCACTGATAGAGGACTTGTTGGCTCTCCACACTGTTGCAACCAATGACCTACGAAGCAAAGCACATCCAGGGAGTGTATTTGTCCGCCGGCCAGGAGACTACATGTGTTGTTACCTCGTAGGTCTCGAGGTTGATGAAGTATTCAGTGAATTCCCCTTGTACTTGGAAGGTTGTCAGTACTAGGAGGTATCCAGATTGGTGATCGAGAGTGAACGTGCACATGTTGCCCTGATAGGTGAAGGCATTGTCAATATGGAAGATCACTTTGACCTCATTGGTGTCGAGGTTGGCCACGCCAAATGAAATAGGGCCATAGTAGCTATCGGCAACCGAATGGACGCCAACGTACACAATGGAATTGTACACAAACACTTCCTTGACTGATGGAAGAGGGAAGTCGAATGTGAGATTATGGAGTGTGAAGTTATTGTGAACAATGGAGTACTTGGCAAGTGTGAAGCCAGGCATTTCGTAGTCCGAGTTGATAACCATGTAGTAGGTCTGAGAGTGCTTATCGTAGGCGCCATAAGCCACGCCTGTCATGAGATTGCCAAATGTAACATAGCGCCTGGTGGATGTGTAAGTAATCCGCATTGTGCCAGGTCTCAGAATGTACTTACTCAATCGACTTTCCAAAGTCCTCAATGAGGAGATCTGAAGTGCCAGTCACTCCAGGCGATACTGGCGCGTAGACAATATTGTTGACAGCGTCGTAACCTGCGATGAATCTAGTTGGATTGAAGAAGAGTTTTGTGCAGATGCCAGATGAAACGTCTGTCATTATACCAGTCTGTCAGAGCTCAATAGTTAGATTCATGCTTCCTGTCCTATTGGCGCTTTAATACCTGCATTTTCATTCACCAATTTGATGTAGGGTTGGATGAGATAATTGCTATTGTTGACAGAGTTTATACCAAAGACTAAATACTCATCTCCAGTTTTGTTGAGAAATGACAGTACATTTGTGGTGCAGGACATCTGTTTCTGCGTCACATCACCTGTCGACAAGTTCATCATTGTGAGTGAGCTGCAAACAGAGTCAACCCATGTAACTACTGTTGGTTGTGTCTGCGATGAAACATTCATCCAGTAAGTTGACAGTCTACTCGTTCGTTTTTAACATCGCTGATCAACATACATGAACCATAAGTGTCAACCCAAACAAGAGCCAGAGAGTCACAAGGGAAGAGATTTGGTTACTTAATACATACATATTTAGTAAGAATTGTTCTTTACCTTTTTGTGTTATCACAAAAACATTAATTTTGTCCTAGGACACTCTTTAGAAAGGTGTTGTTTAGATGAGGGATAGATTTCAAAAAGGATTTATTTATATTTATTGTTTAGTTTTGACAAAAGTTGCTCATTTATTACAAACCAATCTATCAATGTTTGTTTAATTTTATTATTCTTTTTTCTTTACTACTTACTTAAATAGATGAGTTCAATAACAAACATTTTTTTGTTGACATGTCTGTTTACCATTGCCTGGTCTGTACGAATCAAAGACTACTCTAGACATACATTCATGAAAGACTGACTGTCTGTTCTACAGTCTACACCATCCATCCTGGAGATGTGGTCCATATTTCCTTCTTTTGACGTAGTTCACATATCTTTGGACTTGGAGACAGGTGCTGTCAAGACCAAAGAATTGGTTCCCCAGCAGTGTTACGACTACGAGAACTACATATATTTGAGCAGGAGTGGAGACCAATTTGAGATGTTGTCAACGCAACTATATTTGAATCTCTGCAGAACAACCTACAATGCATCGTCGGTAATGAATGGATACCCATAATCAATGGACATCGAGCATCGACTCTAACAGGACCCTGGTTCCAACACCTAGATCAATCAATGCAAAGTCCAGAGTCTCCCAACGACAACTTTGCACGAGCTTAGGTGGATTCCCTACGCCTTCCAGTACGACAGCACCAACTCGATGCTCTACTTTCCCTACTGCTTCCCAGATGGAATCAATATGTTGACTCTACTGGCTTATGATCTGAACTCTACATTGGCGTATGAAATTGCACTCACATTATCATAAACCCACATTGAGACGACATAGACTAACTTGTCCAATCACGGCATCTCCACAAGTTCATCCTTCGAGATGAACTATCAGATTGACAACTTCCCATCAGGGGCACTCGATGTAGCCTCCCAAATATACTACTTGGCCTTTGTGGCTCCTGGCCAAACCAGCCAACTGACGATAGTGGCACTCCAGCTGCAGACATTTGATCAAACTCACTACACAATCGATATCGGTGAGGAAGTCCTAAAAACGGACATGTTGCAGTTATATGGCCATGGATCGAACTTGTTCCTTGCAAAGTACCCCAATGGCACAATGGGCGAGATCTTTGTCTCATCCATCAACTTAGAGTTTGGACAGATGACTAAGCTTATATCCATACCAGATCGATATATTCCAGCCTACACTAGTCCATTCGTACACAGTTACACCTACTCACCATTTGTCCATGACACTGAGAACAACTTCATCGTCGTACTCGATCAACCGAGCACCACCGAGCTGGTCATCCACAATCTGGACATGGAGACTTTGAACGTCACTTTAATAACTGTCCCCAACAACATCCCTACTGGACGTAACCTCTATTACGCCTATTAACCTGTGCAGGATCGACAATCACTCAGACAACATCGGCAACGACCACCATCACGACCACTGCCACGGGCTCTCTGCCACAGTGGAGGTGAGCAAGAGTTACCTGAGGAGGTGGTATGAGCAGAATCTAATTAAACTTGTTTATTATTAGTATAAGATGTTGGCATCGGTCACCACCTCTTGTCATTGGGCTGTGCTCTCCTTGGGCGTCCTACTTGTCCTTGATCTTGATATACCTGTTGATCAATGCCCACCAGCTCTTTGAGTAGAGGGTTCATTGCGGTATCCTGTGAGAGGTAGTTGGTGGGCTGCTCGTGCTTCTTCCACAGCTCGCTGCATGCTTGAGTTGTCGATCTTCAACTTCTTCAAGGTCTTGAAGCACCTGTTCAAGTCTTCGTGCGAGAGAGATTCTTCTTGTAGTCCTTGATGCCACATTCTCTCATACTCTCAGAGTCCTTGACCAAGGCATCCTTGTGTTGTTGTTGAGGTCAATCGTCCATGTCGTCACCCTGCTCGCAGGCCTTGACGCTGATTCTGGCCAATGAGCCCCACAGCAGCTCACCATAGAGACATAGCCAGAGACTTTCTCTTGAGCAGTGCTATGTGCCTATGACTTTGTTGAATGGCTCTGGTACTGGTCACATTATCTTCCTGGACTGCCTTGGTATCGGTGTTGTGAAAACATGACCATTCGCTACAGATGAAGTGGAAGGTTGGGTCAGTATGAGTGTGTTAAGAGTGAAAGGTATGATACCTTGGTCATAGATGCTACTCAATACTCACTAGAGGGGGTTCTTAAGACTATATGTGTTTGGTGTCAGCCAAATGGGTTGGCTGGAGTGCTGATGATGTAATAGAGGTCCTTGTCGGGCTAGGTTGTGCTCGCAAATCTGAATGGTCACTGATGGTGTGTCTTGTCACTTCTCCCGTCCGTGGAAGCTTGTCATATAATGTAGTATCTCGTCAAGCATCTTCAGTCGGGTCAGCAGGCGCACCAGTCAAGATGTTGTTGGTGGAGGTGGCAATTGGGTGTTGAGGAGGGATGATGATACACGTTGATATAGATTACGGTGAACAGCAATGAATGTGGTATATATCGCTTCATCTTGATGAGTCGAGTCTGTTGGAGTATCATAGGAGTTGTTGGATGATGTTGGTCCTTGGTTGGTGTGCGACGATCCAAGTGAGCTGAAATGGTCGTCGTTGCATGGCTGTCCAAGACTRTAATTCCTATGAATCACTTCAACAGTGATGTATAATATATTGATCGCTTCATCTTGATGTGTTGAGTATTACTATACTATAATCTTGATTGATATTRGTTATTGTTAGAAGTAGAAGTGCGACGATCTGCACACAAGGTTTTGGTTGTTACCTGTGTAGTTGGATGTTGATGACCAAAGTTGATGTAGATTACTCCAACGACGATGAATATAGTATGTATCGCTTCTTCTTGATGGGTCGAGTCTGATGATGTGTCATAGGTGTTTTTTGGACGACGTTGGTGATCAGTGGAGTGCGACGATCGTAGTTGATGCCAAAATGTGAGTGTATCCTGGCTGTTGTTGAATGTGTTGCTAAAGAATAGGTTCAGCAGTGATACACAATATATATCGATTCACCTTGATGTGTTAAGTCTGTTGGTATGTCAATTGTAGGTGTTATCGAGATGTTGGTGGCAGTTGGAGCGCGACTCTTGGCGTGTAATGGGAAATGAATGTACTTTGTAAGAATAGGTTCAACAGTCACATATTATATATAGATCGATTCCTGTAGATGTACTGAATCTGTTGGTGTATCAAACGTATGTGTTGAACATTGTTGGTGCATCATCGTTGTGTTGAGACGCATTGGAAAGACACTCATGATGTCTGGTGTGATGTTGTTCAATGATGATGATTGATATCTTGATCGATTCGCGTTGATAAGAGGAGCAACAAGATGTATTATGTTGAGGTGTTGAATGACGTCAGGAGTTGATAGATCGACCTTTATCTGTTGTTGTAAATCTGGATGTCATGAAGTGGATGATGTTGTTGTATAAGCTTCAATGTTATTGTTTAATCAAATGATTCACTGTCTGTATGTATTTGTACTAATGTTAAATGTATCATAGTTGTTAATGACTTGTCTATTGGGTCATTGTCAAAGTGATTCAAACAACTGTGAAATTTTGATTAAAATTAATTATTGTTTATTAATATTTATTTGTTTTTCCAATATGATGTTTAGACAAGTGTAAAGTATGATAATAATGTTAAATGATTATGGTAGGTATATCTGATGGTCGTATTGTTGGCGGGATCTATTTATCTATGAGTTTTAACTGTTGAAAAAAGTATATGTGTTCGAACTTCCATCCCATAC